AATGTAGTGTAGCCGAGCTAGGACGTCCCAAAATCCTATGGCTAGCCAAGCCAAGGACGGAAACGTAAAATAAAGAGAGTGTGGTTTTGAAGCTCATGGCGGCGTCCACGGCCTTTTTCGTTCGTGAATAGCCAAGACACAACAGCTGTGACGTACAAAAGTTGCGCCTAATCATGGGTTAAAGGGCCGCAACTTTTTCGACTTGACTAGTATGGCAGCAAAGCAAACGTAGCATGGAACATTTAGCTCGGAAAGTACTCATGCTGGGTGCATATTTCAGAGATGTGACGTCAGACAAAAGTTGAGCCTAATCATGGGTGATAAGGGCCGCAACATTTTTGAATACTTTTGGACCTGTATTACCCTCACATAGCGCAGTGATTCCTGGAGTTTTTCCATCTTTTTTGTCATTGTTCCTTTTTGTTTTTCTGTCTATGTTCGAATCTACCTCTCAATAGAGCACAGAAACCCAATGAGAAAAACCGCTCCTACACAACGAAGGACTAGCGCAGTGCAACGCTGCAAAGTCCACGACGACGGCACAGGCAAGCGGGTCACCAAACTTGCTTGAGGGGCGTTTTTTTTTGCTTTTTTTTTTTCACACAAGTATTGCTTGCATGAAGGCATTTCCTTGGTTCCGCAATGACTTTTTGGGTCGAGTTCTTGAAAACGTCGCTCGCTTTTCTCTTGGTTGTAGGCACGGCCGTTACACGTTCTGATTTATAACAATCCTACAACGCAAACATTCCTCAAGTTGCGTTTGAAAGTCCCGTAGTATCTGGTATCATGGAGGACGTTTATTCCTTACTCCGTGGGTAGTATCACGGCTGCTGCACGAACAAGCGCACGGACCCGTGCGCTCTTTCACCAGCGGCCGTGGTAGTATCATGCTTTTGAAACTGAAACTTGCTGAAACTCGTGGACGAGCCCACAAACAGTAAACAAATCAGCGTCGTCGTAGTCCTAGCGACATAAGTGACGTACGTGGTGACGTACATACGTCTCCATACCTCCATTAGACTGATGCTAAGGCAGCTGAGGTGTTCTGTTCTCTGTCGTACCTGCATGTTACGCCAGCGCAGTAGAGACGGGCCGTGACCGCAGCGCTCCCCACGCGCTGCGATAGCCCACCTTGCCAGGGTAGTACGTCTGCTTTGTGTGTTGTGATCGAAGTTACCGCACCGAAGGTTAGACTCTATGTTGGGACTCCCTGGCTTGTATGCCAGTAGGCAGGCCCCGTCTGTTTGGTGCCGAACGGCGGCCCTCTTGCCAATGTATGGCCGTCTGCCCAAAACAAATCCTCCCTCTCATACAACCCTGGGGAGAGGCCTTGCCGGGACAGACGCATAGATGATGATGGGTTGATGAGTTACGTGAGATTTTGGGACACAGCGCCTTCGGGCGCCGCGTCTCCTTGCTGCCTGACAACGGCAAGGCCTACTACGGGTACAGTAGAGTACGGGTAGAGTGTACTAGAAGTGTTGAGTGGCGTGACCGTGCCTCGCCGCCTGATCCCTTCCGCGTTGCCCGCAGCGGCGGCGCTGCAGTCGAATAATACTGAAAGCGCCACGTGCAGGAACTGCTATGCGCTTCGGCTCCTCCGTCGCGCTATAGTGTAGGGGCCTCCCGACTGTGCACAAGGTTGCGGTCGGGCATGTAATGTCCAACAGCAACCCTGTGCACAGTCGGGAGGCCCCTACTATGGTGGTTAGAAGGAGCCGCCATACCCCTACTGCACGCGTAATCCAGAAGCGGGCAAGAATTGCCATTGCACACACTTGCCAGCCTCTGCGGCAATACGCGGCGCCCCTCTTTCAACGACGAGATGTCCACAGGGCGCTGAGTAGTAAAAGGCTTAAACTTCTTTAAAAAGCTCTTTTCCCCCCACACAGAACCGCCAGAGCCAGGAGGCGCCGTCTGGTATGGAACAATGCGTTAGTGAAAGGAAGGATACACAGACCGCAGACATCCTAAAGGTGAAAAGGAGAAAAGGGAGAGAGATAGATGGGAAGGAAAGGAAGAGTGAAAGGGGGCGCCCGGGGGTGTCCACCTTATATTGTCTCTTTTTTCTTCTTTCTTTTTTCTCTCGTTTTTTTCTTCTTCCTCTCTCTCCCCCTCTGATTTAAAATTGTATAAAGCTGAGCACCAACAAACTGTACAATTAATCCTCATGAAGGCCAGAGTTGTCACACTGGAGGCACGCGCAGTGACAGCGACTACACTTGCACACCTGCACCTCATTTTCAGCCATGCTCCCTACTCTGCCATTGTCTCTCTCTGGTTACGCGGCGCAGCTCGTGCCATAATCCATGGTGACAAGGGATGGTGGGTGGAGATACGCAAAAGGGAAGCGAATAAAAGATTTCTGTGGGGTGGGCAAGATGCCTATTTAAACGCGTGGTCCTTCGTGGTTCTTTGAAGCAAAGACATGGGCAAATTTTCGCTCAGCGGCAGACCTCAGAGCTCTGTTCTCTCGCCAGTTTTATTTAACCTTTTCTCAAGTTCAATACCGCAGTGCGATAAGGTACAAATATATGTATATGCAGAGGACATTGCATTTTTTTTTGCATCAGACTTGATAATCATTTACTACATTCAACATTACAGTTACATTTGGCAATATTGAAAACCTGGTTTCATGATAGTCATACGAAGCTGAGCGTTATTTAATGTGCTATAATAGTTTTTCCATTCGATGTGCCAGTTAATATAGTTAATATTTCTCTTTTTCGCAGAGATCATAATTACTGCATCTATGTTCGTACGATTCTTGAATTCGGTTGTGTACTATTCCCTGGCGGACCAGCATACAATATAAACTCCTTGATTACTTTAGAGTGAGATGCTCTTCGAACTTGTTTAGGCGTGCCAAAATTCAGAGCTAACAATGTTTTGTATCAAGAAGCTCCGATACCCGTCTTGCTTGCAGATTTCATATTGTCGCGACATAGTGCTTGCATTCAAACAACGCTCCCATCACCGCGCGCACAGGGACTCAGGGACATACATGCGCGCCGTCTAGTGTTGCGCAGAGACGATGATGATAGGACGAGAACCCAGCTGGCCCCTGCTGATGTGCGCGACGCGCTTGGGACTCTTCTTGAAGAAGTAGAACAAGGAGAACTCTTTGGTTTTCTGCTGTAACGTGCTACGACCATAGGCCTTTTGAGTTGTGGGCACAGGTTCGCCCTTTAATAAATACGTTTTATTACACCCGAGTCCTTCAACATCGTTACAATATTACAACAGTTAAAACCTATCTAAAGTTTTCTGAATTCACAAATCCACATTAAGGTGGCAGCAGTTTGTATTTTTTGCCGAACCGAGTATTTTTTTCAATGAGGAATGGTCCCATCTATACAATCCTCAAGTGTTTGTTAAAACACTACTAGATGCTTTAAATGTTAATATATTCGAGATCATACCATTAGACAAACCAATCGGCCATGTGCCAGTAGAACTTGGTGATATCTTTCCAACGAATGCTAAAGATTTACCCTCTAAGTATTTAATTAGCTTACTAGAAGAACACCTGCCTCAATTACGTACTAATTATATATATATATACTGTAATTGCAACGGATGCGTCTGTGCGTGACCAGCAAGATGGTGTGAGTATTTTTTCTCTCTCATCATCCAGGTATTTTTTATTACGCCTCCCAGCTTATACACGCATATTTGAAATTGAATTAACGGTCGTTATACTAGCTCTTCAAAAACTTCCTGTGACTCATTCGACAGCTGTGATAGTGATTGACTCGTTATCCGTGTGTTCATTTTTATCATCGTCGTAAGCATAAGCAGCACTAGATAAATCAATGATCCCAGCAAATATTCGTCTAGTGCGATTGATATGAATGCCAGGTCACCGTAATATACTTATAAATGAGATGGCTGACTCACTCGCGCGAGCATCCCTTGATGATTCGATAGTGACAATCATGCCTTTTACATCTTATGTAACAGCAGCGAGATTCAGAAAACTTTCCCCTTTTGAGGACTCGTCAAAGATTACTATACTGGATCAACAATTCTTGCACCTGCACTTTGCATGGAATAATAAATGGTGTGCCACGCTTAAAGTGGAAGTCTCCGTAACAAAATTACGATGCTATATACTACCTCTTAATTTTTATATAACAGGTCTGGTCTGGTGCCATCCTCTTTGTGCTCTAGCTGTAACGAACCTAAAGATATCGACCATTTTCTTCTAACAGGCCGCCGTTTCAAAAATCAAAGAAAAGAAAGGTTAAAAATTTTTTTTTTAAAGAACTTGGACTTTCATTTAGTACTCCGAATATTCTGTCCTTTGGGGCTGCTTCATCACAATTCAGCGATAGGAACTCTTTCGGGGCCCTCTGGGAATTCCTATGTGATACAAGGAGACTACCTTGCCGAGCCATTGATCAGCTCTCGATTTTTTTTTTTAAACGAAGCTCAAGCTTAGTATTTAATTATTACACTGCATTGACTTCACCTACTGAAAAATTATGTATTATGATTATGTCTCAGTTATTGCAAAAATCCTATTAGGTATTTCTCTTCCTTCATTTGTTTTTCACATTTCGCTGAAATTATCCCGTGCTGTTAAAAACATAGTATTCTCTTTTCTCTAGCCTGCATAGTTCTAAATTTTTCATTAACCGCCGGCTTCTTGCCCAATTCCCTTAAGTGAGCAAGTCACAAAAGAGGATTAAGCAAGCAAGGTTAAGGCGGAAACAGAGGCGCGTCATCTTAGCTGTTGGCAGCTTAGCTTCTCATTTGCAACTCCTGCTACTGAATTCACCGAACAGCTCAGTTGTTGCACAAGTCACTGCTTTCATAACGAAAGCGAAAGCATCTTGCACAGAACGATATTGAAATGGCAGTGCCATAGCAGAGCCGCCATGTTTCTCACGGCATCAGCTGGTTGTCGCGACTCTGCGCATTGCTCCGTATCTCAGCGATCCGATTCCATCCTGCTGTTTAAAAATGGCCGCTCCGCGCGGTTCAATCGGTGGTCAACGTGAATCTTTAGTGAACCAGTTATGTGACCTCGTAAACCTCTAGATTCGCATCTGTGCTGCTCCGTGTCGTCGGCACGTTTGTGTCAGTGCGTGTGTTCTTTGGGGATGTGCGTGATGCAACAGTCGACGTGGGCCATGGCTTTCTCGACGCCGGCAACGACTACAAGCGCTTGGCTTAGGCTTAATCTGTCTACGACGCTTCTTCGGATCAAACCAGCTCATCCGAAGCACCGCGATGTGCGACGCCACGGACGTTAGACGGCGCAAACTCGCCAAAACGTTGAGCCGTAAGTCTTCGAGAGGCGTTAACATCGGTTGTCGCTCCGTCCGTGTCAAGTGTCCGCGTACTCCGTGAATCCGCGCGGCTGCTTTGTGAATCGATTTCGTTTCGGTTATTGTTATCGGGAGGACATCGGTGCATATCGAATGCCATCCGGCGACGACGCTTTTCAGTGCGCCGCAAGTACCGTTTAATGCTTCGATACACTGCAAGTCGCTTGTTTCGTAAGTAGTCCACTATTGCGTAACCTGTCACTGGATGTGTTGGTAGGTGTCCGTAGAGTAGGGTGGCTTTGGAAGAATTTGTGTACTTGTGTTGCAAGATAACCTCGCTCGTCGATCATGCTTGTATTGGGTATCAAGAGCCAGCGTGCTCAGTACATTCTATCCGCGCGGTGGGCGTAAGTGCTTGGTGGGAAATTTTTTCCTCTCCATTGAGTAATGCGACTACTTTAAGACCGTGACATGTATCTGACTATCGTGGAATGAACGTTCCCTTCACATTCAGTGGTTTGCCCTTTGTTATTGTTCTGTTGCTGTTGCTATTTTGTAATCGCCTTCTGTCGCGTTTAGAGCTCCGTACTTTTCTGGAACCGAGCGCTTACGTAATTTACGAGGAAACAAACCACTACACTTTACTAACAACTGTGAACGGTGAGACACGTGCTGTGTCATTATTTTTGATGTTCGGGGCTATAACCCAGCCACCTTCTTTTTCTCAACTATTGAAAGAGAAAAGAATGAAACAAAAATTTGATAGTTGGTGCCAGTAGAACTCAACCACTTTCGCTTATTCGTGGTTGCAGGTTCGAAGCCTCGATGGTGTAGAAACCCGAGGCATGGCTGAACTTCAGGTCAGTCTGGAGTTCTATGTCGAGCTCTTCAAGTTCAGCAATGTCGACCTTTTCCAGCGAGGGTGAGCTCGTGTTTTTCAGATCACTTCTCAAACTGACACTTTCGTCGTACATGTTAACTGTAGATTCTATCAAATGTTTTCGTGTGCTTGCCCTGCTGAAATCTAACTGCCTATCGTAGTCTTTGCATTACCTTCATCAGAGGAAAACCTCGGAAGTAACTTCTTAATAATAATCTGTTACATGTACGCAGATTTTAGATTGAAGTGTACTGTTCATGGAACTTTAATAACCATTTCTTACTATAGCAGTAAATAATTGGGTTTCTTGTTTGCACTATAGCTCTTGAGCGTGGTGAGTTGTTTACAAGTGAAACTTGTGACTGTAAAAGGGTTACTTCTCTATTCCAGAGTAACTAATAATGGTTACGTTGTTACTTTCTTGCCGTTAACATGGCCATGTCCGATCAATGCCAGTAATCATGTTTTCATCAAAGCCAAGGATTGATTTTATTTGAAGCCCAGAAGGTAACTTATTTGCCTAGTGGATAGCTTGTTTCATAAGTTGTGTTTATGTGCCCAGTTGATGGATGTGTTCATTGGTCAAGAATTGGGAAGTTGGGTACGAGAATGATTCTTTAGCTTGTCAAAGCAAGACGAGAAGGTCAGCAGAAAATTTGAGGCTTGAAGTGATGAGAAACTGTTTGTCAGGAAATGTCGCGATGTCAGCACTTTGACAACAGGACTTGGTCTTTCTGACTAGCTCATCAATTGAGCCTGTTGGGCACGTTGTTTGGGATGGTAAAGCGACTGAATCGCTTGAAAATAACGTGACATGCAATTTGAAGACATTGTGACCTTTTCTTTCCTGTCAGTCTTGTCAGTATAATCAAGAACTGCGTTCAATTCAAAGCAGTGTTGAAAAACAGTGTGCCTACCCACGCTTTTCTATCACTGCACCAACTTCGGCTATTTATAACCATATTGACCTTTAGGTGCTATTCTACTTGGCCCATTGAGTGTTTAGTTGCATCACATTTTTCATGTCTAGATGCTGTGAAAAGGATACTCAATAACATGGATTAACTACCGCACAGTGTTCATTCAGTCTTTGTCAGCACTGCAGAGTGCATGCAACCCACGATGTTTAGCCGCAGGATTTTTTGTTGGACACAGTGTTAATAGCATCTGGGACATAATTCAGTTGCTTAGTCTGTGTCGAAAAAAAGGACAATTCAACAGCTAAGGTGTGCTGAAATGCCCTTAAACCACTCAGGGGTCGAGATTTGGTGGTTGCGTAGCAGCTGTGCGCAAGTCAACGATGAAAACATGGCCACGATAATTTTACGAAATGGCGCCTTGATAGCGCATACACGGAACGTTAAATCAAAAGCAGTATAACTGCTCGAAATTAAGGATCACAGGCCGGATTCCAAAAGAAGGCAAGTGGGTGAAGGGGAGACAGAAAGTTAGGTGGGCAGAGGAGATTAGGAAGTTTGCGGGCATAAAGTGGCAGCAGAAAGCACAGGACCAAGTTGAGTGGCGGAACATGGGAGAGGTCTTGTCCTGCATAGGGCGTATTTAGGCTGATGATGATGATGATTGATCTAAATGAGGCCCTCAGTGGTTTTGCTCTTTCCTGGGCTGTGCTCTGGTTGGCTTGTCTCTTATCTGGGTCATGTGTAAGCAAGGAGCTAGCGTACTTGCCGACAGACAAACAGCTTCTTTCTGCTGCTGACATGGCTAGATTCTCCTGGTGATGTCATGGCCAATGCTGGGGATATCGAAACACCTGAACAGCAGCACGGGATCGCTTCTATTTTGTGGCACGCCCGGAGCACATAGCGCTGTTGCGTTTGGTGCTGCTTATTGGGACGGCACGCTGAACTCTATGCACGCATTTACTTGAGATGGTAAAATAAATATTGGAAGGTATTTAGGAGTTAGATCACTCAAACAGTGAATATGTCAAATAGGTCTCGCAACCCTCAGAGGGGTCTACGAAGGCTGGAAAAGAAATCGGTATATCATACTTCCTGTGGTTTATTATATATTGTGCAAGGGTGTTCTTTTTGTTGTCAGTGGCAGTTTTTTTCTTCATTCTTAACTATATAGTATAGTCTGAATATGTAAAACGTAACCGTGCGCATTATTCGTTTCCCTTTCTGATCTTTAGGCACTATCAAATCCGGACGGCTCTCAAGGTGCCCCAGAGGCTTCCCGCTAGAGTTGAAGTCCAACTGCCAAAAAGCACAGTGATTCAAAGTTATGGTAAGAATGACCTCTTTTTTATTTTTATTTTTCGTCGCCTACCTGTACTCACTGACTGCCTTTAGTATGCAGCCATTTTAATACAGCCCACACATAGTTCCTGGAAAAGACACCTTCAACATTGTGATCGTGTAAATTATCGATTGCAGCTGACAATTTGCAAATACACTCAAAGCTCAATGAAACAAACTCTAACACAACGAAATATCAGTTATAACAAAGTGAAAAATATTCTTGCAATAGATATACTGTGATGAATATACTTTTATAAAGAATTTTTGGGTATAACAAACTTATTTTTGTGTAAGATGCAACTTTGCTACAGTGAGGTGTGAGTGTACCTGCAATACAGATTCCCTGCAAGGTTTTCTTTTTGTCAACGAGGCACGCTCATGCACACGCAGCTTTTCTTGCTCCTCGCGCTTTTGCCACTCCTAATTCCAGTTGGATTACGCGAACACCGCAAATGGTTTTTTCCAAAAACTACTATTGAATAGTCATGCCTGATTGTTGAGCCTCAGTCTAAACATGGTGAATGAGGCGCCCATCATTCGGGGGACGCGCTTTTACTTGAACTGTGAGTGGCAAAACCACAGCAAGCGACAAAGGCAGTCTGTGAACGATAGTGCTCAGTTAAAAGAAAATTAGCAGGAAAGCTGTTTTGCAGATTTCTACAAACACTCTATTGGTTTGCACTAATTTTCTTTGACTTGGGCAACACCATGTCAATCACTGAATTCACTTTCGCGGGGGCCTGAATGACATGGTGACCAGATTTCTTGTTGTATCCACTTGATAGCTTTTTCTTTATTTTGCATATTGTAGTGTGATGTGTAAAAAAAATTGAAAAGGATTGCTCTGACTTAACACAAGTAATAACAACATATCAAAGATGTTTTGCCACATATCGTTTTGTTAATACTTGTTGTGTCAAGTCTGAGTAAGACTTACAATCATTAATTTGCCGAGATTTTGGAACATTTTTGCAACTTTTAAAACTGTTGTGTGTCAACCTTGTTATGTAATGGGTCATGCACAATGCAATTGTACCTCTTTTTAATAGCTCTATATTTTTTGTAAGCACGTGTTTTATTTACTGGTGTTGGCATTTGCTACTGAGCAGTCTTTCTGTTACTATGTATGCTACAACATGTTTGCGGTAATTTGGTACGCTATATCCTCGTTTACTGTATCAAGGTATGACTATACGGGCTGTAATCCACAGCTCCTGTAAATGGAGGTTATTTATTTTTTTTTCCGGGAAATGTGGCAGCTGTCGGTAATGGGCGACAAGAGGAGCCACGGACACATTTTTCTTGCACACCTGTCTGCACCCTTCTCTCTTTACGGTGCCTTCAGTTGCTTGCTTCTTCAAAAGCGAATTGGAAGAAAACTGAAGCAGAAGAACAAACCGGAAGCTATGTCTCGTGTCTTTGTCACACATAGTCTACGTTCCATGCGACGCTTTTTTAGCCCTACAAGCTCCCCTTGTACAAGCTACTCTAAAATCCCGTGTAAGAAGCCCCACTTCAGCAAGTCTAGATTACAGGCAAATTGGGAAAGGGGGGATGCTCTCCTGGAATGGCAAAATTGTGCATGGTGGATTTACGCAGAAGTCTTAGCACTCTTGTTCATGGCATGACGCATTACGATGACAGCGAACAAATACAAGAAAAGTAACAGCACGGTCAGACCATGGGAAGCATGGCATTAGAGGCATCGATAATAAGCTGACAAAACAGCGATAAGCAACAAACACTAATCTCTGAGGCGTTACTTTTACTCACTTCAGTGTCATAGGCACCGTCTCGGAATACAGATCTTGATGGTCATGCTTTTGCTTTTGGGACCTTGAAAATCGTCATGGGTGTGACGCGCTGAGTTTGAGGTTGCAACCATTACGTGCGAAAGAAATACCATATTTTGACGTCAAGTTTTAGGCCCAGCAGCTCTTTAAGACCAGCAGAAAAATTTGAAGTTAGCCGTGAAATCGGAGGAGGCGGCATCCTTTTCCGATGCCAAAACACTGCCAACATGTCTTCTTTGATTATGCTCAGAATAAAGACATTGAACATTTCGTAGAGGTACTAATCACTTCCTTGAATTCTTGTCTTCTTCACGCAGCTCTCCCCATAGTTTTTCCTCCCTGCGTTGTCAATGGCACGGCCGTAAGCAAGACCTTTCAGATCCTCTACAAAAATGAAGAAGTGTTTCTGCACGACACCGTTTTATTCAAGGTCCACGCACTTGTTGACGCACACAAGGTTGGTCGCTCGTCTTTATAAAGGATGATTTGGAGTGAATGCAAGAGTGTTCACTTTAAATCTTGCATTATGGGCATGCGTGTTGAAGCAGAGAGACCAAGTGCTGGTGCATACATTGAAGACTTGGCAGTAATGAAATTATTGCGTTTGAATTGCTTACTGCTGTAACGAGGAATGCACACTGAAACCTCTTTATAACAAGGTTGCATTTTACATGAAAATAGGTTTCTCATAATGAAAAATTCATTATAAAGGTATATTCCTAACACTAAATACTAACACTGCAAAACTATTCTTCAATTACTTCATTATTATCAATGTTTCCTTATATCTGGGTTCATTATATCGAGGTTCGAGTCTAATGAGTTACCGCAGTGGGCAAAATAAAAAAAAATTGGGGGGGAACTTGTTTGCTTGTTAGATGCAGCTAATTATGAACAGGTAATTAATAGTGTAACAAATTACTTCAAGCAGGTAATTTCAAGAGATTTATGCATTATTTTCCCAATCACTTTAAATATAGACTAGTTTACCTAAAAGATCTGGGCACTGCTATTTCGGGCTGTCGGGCTGATGCTTTCTCGTTCTTGTGTATCTGACGTGACTTAATAACGTCGTGAAACGTCGTATGCACAAACCAAACCACTTTCACGCATATGTGTCTCCTGTAACACTCCTCGTTTAGTTGAAAATGCAAAATACAACAGTTAGTAGCCCAACATGGCGGCACTCAAAAAGTACAATCGATTCGCCTGCACCACGTGAATCAGTTCACAAGGTGCTGCACCTTGCCATTCATTTCAGCAGTGCAGCATTCACAACCTTTGAACCCTGCCAATCGTTTTGAATCGTGCAGAAGAGGTGCAGCACTGGTTCACGATACAAAGCTTAGCATTTGTTCACTCTTGTATGGATTTTTTAGAGGACAAATTACTTGTCGCACTTCCAACATCAATGCTGACTTGCATGAAAAACCTTTTCTCCTGGTATCATGTGTTAACTAAGTGCTTATTATTTCTTTGTAACACCATTCAGGTCCGAGATATGCTGTCAAAGGCTGACTTTCAGCTTTCTGTCGAGCTTTGGTTCACGGACCAGAACTTTGGGCAAGTCTCGGTCTATTTACTTTTGTTCGTGCCTAATGCCACGTTGGTTTCGTTAACCCGTTGATTGTTAATCATGTTCTGTGCCCTGCAAGCAGCACTGTGCTTCTCTTATTTACGGTTTTGTTCTCATTAGTGCGATACGAGCGGAAGAAATTGATATCTTGCAGCCAACTTTTGCAGTTGTGAAACTGAGAATCGCATGTCTTCTGAGTAAAAAATTCACGAAGCAGCTATTACAATATCTGCATAAGCACTTCCTGCACCTTTACAATCACCTTCTTTCACACGATACATGAAAACCAGTCTAAAAGTATCTTTCTTCCTGTTAAATTTTAGACAATAGAATGTGTCAGATCTTGTGTTGTGAAATTATTTTTGTGCTGTACCCATCGTGGATTTGCTTTGCAGGTATGTCAGATAGTTGGAGTGACTGGCCAAAATGTGATGCATTTGTCCTCTTAATCATTAATTAGTTTATTTATTTATTTTCAGTACCCTATGGGCTCGCAAGGCATTAAAGGGGGTCTTTATAAAGAAGTATTGAATACAGTTGCGATGCAGGACAAAAAACAGCGTTCGAAGAGAAAGAGGAAAACATTGGAAATACAATGCTGAAATGAAAAATGTTACTGTAATAACTAAGACAGCGCAATAGCAAATGTTTTTAAAATACATTATGTGCAACATTTTGCAATATGATGATAATATTAAGAGGATAAGTAAGGTTTGTCCGATTTCTGAAGTGATTGATGATCAAACATCTCATGCAGTAACAAGTACAATCAAGTTCAATATTAAAAAGCTCACAGGGTCTTTTATATTAGGACAGCTCTAAGATGAAGCCATCTTTTTCTTCTCAGTCGATGTATTGATCCTTCCCCATCACCCTATATACGCTTTCGCACCTAACAGCATTTTACGCTACTTTCTAAATCGAAGGCACCTCACCTGGTATTGTGCTGCCTCAGTGGTCAGAACACCATTGGCCAAGCTACGACGCCATGTGATGATTTCGTTACTGTGGCGTGTGTGTGTGACGACATGACGACATCACATGACATCCTAACTTGCTCAAAGCTGCCCTGATCACTGAGGCAGTGCAAAACCAGGTAAGGTGCCTCCGATACAGAAGGTAGTGTAAAGTTTCCGATTCAGAAGGTAGTGTAATGTCATGGGACGTTACGCCAACATCACAGTGACGTCTTGATGACATTATGCTGCCATCACAAATTTTCGTGATCTGTGATTGTGTGACATCACCACGTGATGATTTTTTGCATCACTCGTGCTCTCCCAGTGGGTGTGGAATGCCGCCAACGCAAGACACCCATGGTCAATTTTCGCATGTGATGGGGCATGTGAGGCTTTCGCCTAAGAAGTGTTATCACGCTTGAGAACCGGGTGGAGCACCGACTGAAACGATTGATAATCGTTGGTAGGGGCAGTGCTAAATGGAAGGGGATTCCATTAACCTATATATAGTGTAGAAGGCGATTTCCAGTATTTTTCAGTGTGAGAAAAAGATTTGTTGGATTTTTCACTGCAACATAACTGTGATTGGAGAACCTCGGCTGATCAAAATTTTGCAGAGGCCTCGTAAGTGTCCCCTGTAGTTTTTCGTGCAGCTTTGTGATGCTAAATACTGCTGTTAGAACACCCCGTTGAACCAAGCACATGATCACCGTTGAGCGTTTGCGTAATTATGATAGACCAGTGGCATACTTTTGTAATTGCCTGATCTGTAAGATGTGTTGGGGTCTTAGTAGCATCTCCCTCAATGCAGCCCTGACCATCACAAGACCATACAGTGCGTGAGCTCGCGACTGCTGACTTTGCATATGGATCCCAGCCGCGGTCTTCATCATCATATTCCAGTTTTGTTTGACTATTTCCACCTGTCGGCTGTTTCCGTCACTATCCACGCTTCGTTGCTGGCTGTGTACCAACCTTACATCAGGCAAGCTTTGTTGTTGTAATTCTTGTTTTCACTGTCTTCATTCAGGGTGTACTTGACATTTAACGGGACTCGCTGTCAATTGACTTCTTTAGGCACTTTGCGTGGTGTTATGCCTGTCAAGATATTGTAACAGCAGCACAAGAATGGAAAAAAATAATTGTATTGTTACAGGGTTAATTTCTTGTAGCATGCTATTGACGAGGAAAACACCTGCCTACTGTGGGACTACTGTCTCGGGTTGCTATCACTGCTAGTGTAGGGTTGATGCTGCTCATTTGCAATTACCACTTATGAATATGTTCTAAACTAGACAAGGGCTTAAATTAGTAATGCTTGATAACTCTTACAGGGCCGCGACAGCTGAATTGGAATAAGACATCTTCGAAATTTATGTTGTTGCACTAACGTACTAACACTAGAATTCCAGCAGGAAGTTCAACACTTTGAAAGTTAGGCATTTTTCTTTCAGCAGTAATCTAGTCATGCTCTGACTGGGTAATCAGCGGAAGTAAAGCTTTGAAAAAATTCAATCAAACCAATCGCTACCGATGTTGCACGATCACTGGTTCTCTCCTCTTTTATCGCCGTATGCATGCCTTGCCCTCTTCTGTGGTGGTCACTTTCGATTGCAATCGGGCTTGACCCTGGCTGAGCTTGATTTGGGTCAAGCGCGGTGACACGGTCGCTTTGAATCGCAATTTTGTTCAATCTGGATAGAGAATTCGAGTATTGAGCTTCTTTATTGTGATGTGGCTAGCACCTTTGGCCTTTTGCTCTGTGTGCTGTAAAATGCTAAAACAGAAAGGTTAACGTCTAAGTAAATATAAATACTTTTTTATGCATAAAAGTATGCTATGAACTTGAACTAGTACATGAATGAACCTATTATCTAGGCAAACATACAATCTTTATGCACTGAAACATCCCCCAATTATGCTTGATAATGATGTCGGGGAATAAGGGCACTGGAAGTCGCACGAGGTGGGGACATATTAAGGTTATACTGTATTTGCATTCACAACAACACGCTGTTGTGAGAGTTTTTGATGATCAGTGGAGGATAGCTGTCTATAATGACCTACGGTGACTGCTGCAGTCACATTTGCTTGGAAGAATGGGGTCTGCTAGACAAGATTTGCTGTATGTTCAACAAATTTGGCAATTTCTCTGGGCCCATAATGTCACCGGGTGCATTCGAGCTTGCCAATCTCTACTGATGTCTACAGTTTGCTTGGCAGCGATCATTGTCGATTGCAACAAAGAAATTTGATGAAAATTGAGCCGAGCTGCAGTAGAGAAGGACCACTTGGGGCTAGTGTCACTGTTTCGGACCAACTAGACGATAAAACAGTCGACCAACTGTCTTTTCTGACTTCCTCTTGTCTCACTTCTGCCACTATTCTAGGAGGAGTGCTGTCTTGACACCGTCTCATCCAGGGTAAGCTTTGCCCAGCCTAACTGCGCTAAGCTGACGATTGGCGAAAAATCTCAGTTTGCGTAGAAAAGTTGGAACAAATTTATTTCTGATTTGTAAACAAGAATCACGACAGTGTTGTCACAGTGTCCTTTCCTTTTTATTTTTGCGACGCAGCGTTACCAGGACAGGCAGAGCGCAATGGTTTACGGGCAGCCCGAGGCTCGCCTCTCGAAAGTCGATGTCGTCCAGTCTGGAAAGTGTCTTCTTTGGGCCTCAGGTGAGCGCCCCTCACAAGACTTGCAGGGGTTTTCATTGACTGTGATGTGTAACAGCTTGTTGCGAAGAAAAGTGAGTAAATTTAGCGTCAGATTCTGCCGACACCCCTTGAGACCACAAAATCACGAGAAAAACTTTTGCAGTCCTGAACAACTAACGTTTTTTACTGCCCCCAAGGGCTCAGATTGCCCCAGTCTCGTCTGACATTTCCATATCAGTTTAAATTTATTTTACCATTGAAACAATACATAATGTGTGATGAGCCTGCGATAAATCTATCGCTTGAAATCTTGACAACACATGATATAGACCTGAAGTCCTGGCAGTATGTTTAATGGACATATCAACACTGGTACTGTGGCAGAAGATAATGGGGGCTTTGTGGCTTCTAAAACGGCTTTCTCTATGGTCACTGACCGTTTCGGAACTGCTGAAAAGTCCGAGTAATCGGGAGTTTGAAAAAAAGCACCTTTATTGGTCCAATGGCCGAGAAAACCTGAAGAAATACACAAGAGAGTGAGGCACTGAGCGTGAGGCACTGAGCATGAGAGGCTTATCAGGCTTAGCCGCAGAAGCAATTCGCAATGCCTGTGCCAACACGCTAGCAAAAAGGCCACACCAAGTCACGAGTTCACTCTCTACTTGGCTTGGCTTGGCTGCAATAAGCATTCAATGACCACGTGACTGAGTAAAGCCAAAAGAACGAGTCGCCAAACATAGCCTTCAAGATCCGCAATTATGTGTTTGTTTTGGCACTGGCTTGACATCGATCCATAGTTGGTTCATCATTTCAGTGCTGGCAGCCTAGCAAACATATTGCAAACATCGTCATGGCGTACACGCCGCAACCGATCAGCCTGTCTGATTCCGAAGAATTGAGCAGTGCATTTTGGTTCGTTTGAATTTTCGGTCAAGAGTTTGTATTAGGTTCAAGGGGCAAGTGGCGGGGCCTCGATGGTGTCCGAATAAACAAGCATGTTAGAATTTTCAGCGTCCGTATAAACGGTCGCCGACTGTATGCTGTTCACCTCAGTACTTAGTTTATGCTTGGCCTCACAGCGTCTCTGAATTGCTATGTAGTTTTGAGTATTGCAACTATTATGGCTGTGATTTGACACCTGAGGGCACTGGTTTGAGACTGCGAGGTCACTGAAATCAGCGGTGATGGCTTCAAGCAATGCCATTTTGACCCTCTAAATGTGCCATAAAGTCTGAAAAATCGCATGGTGAATAGATTTAGTGTCCCGAAATTTCAGGGTGGGTTAGGTTCAGCTAGATTTACTGCTATTTTATTTACTGCAGTGTATGGTTGAGACCCAGCTAACTTTCTTTCATATCATTCATATATAGCTGACTCTCAGCAAACGAAAATTTCTTAAATGGTACTGCTGATGAAACAACTGTCTCTAATATTACTGGTTTCATACTTGGATTCTGCTCTCCTGCTCATCTTTCGTTAAACAGGACTCCTGTTGAATGCGAACGCATTTCCCTGGTCCTTTCATGTTCGATTTAATTTAAATAGAGTACGTACAATGAACTGGGCTAGTTGGTGGTGGTTAGTTATGTTTCATTGTGGCAACAATGAGAGAAAAACTAAGGCTCACATTTAAAGGAGTACTGACGAGAACTTTAAATATTTTGTAATTGTTGGTCTAAATAATAACATGGGTTTCGAGAACCCTAAAGAGAGTATTGGGGTGCCTTGGAATGCATCGAACATATATTTAATACCACTGCTCTAAAAAGTCACTTTCGGTTTCTATATTGACGGGGTGGCTTCTCTGTGCTGTGCCATGTCAGTGTGACGGCATGTGAAGACAGCAATGCGCGACTTATTAGCAACCAATTGGCTATCTGCTCGGGCTTAGTGTAAACAATGATGAGTACAGTCTCGAGGGACACCAACAGCGATTTCCGCGATTCAGGCTGTGCACAGGATGTAGATTTCGCAAACTCAGTGGCACAAAGTTGACTTGCTGGAATCGTGTCCTTTGCTGTGTGGCTCGCTTGCTGATGATCAGTGACAAAAACTGGCAGACGCTAGTGTGTGGAAAGTGTGAACACTGCATACTAAGGAAACGAAAAATGTCCCTTTTTTTGAGACTCAAAATCGTGTCAGTACTCTTTTAAGAACAATGTTGTCTTATTGTGTTTTCCTCTTCCTCACCAGACTGTTACAGGCAAAGAGAGCCTACTGTATCTTTTTATCCCCTTCAATGAAGCATCGATGATCAGTGATGTTCCCTGCAAGGAATCTTCCTTTTTTCAGGGAATTTCCGCCTGTCATATTGAGCCAAAGAAAAAAAAAAGGGAATGTGTGATATTGCAGGGAGTTTCAGGAATGGTTAAATTCTCTTATGACGACTGATAATTAACGGTCACAGTGGGCCTTTATTTGCTCTAATTGGTTCTGGCGCATGCACCATGCAAGCATAGCCTTTAAGATTTGTTTCTGATATTTATTCGCAGTAATTTCTAGTTCACTAGTGGTGTTGGACTTGAAGTCCACAATCTGTAGAGTACTAACAGTATATGAATTAATAAGGTCATGCTTTTGTTGTGCGGCAGTGGAGAGGCTAGTCATGATTTCAAACATCGCCAGCACGTGAGACACATGTAATTATAGTATGTGTGTGTGTGGATAGGGGCAAAAATTAGTACTGTTGTACAGGGAAATATGCTGGAAATTTCGTCAACGTTTCCCGAAATAGGGAATTTTTATGTCTCTGAATGGTAATTCTTCGGCGTAGTACGGAACATCATTGACGACGATCGTTATCCTTTGCAGACGAGCGGGGGCAGTGGACGGCTTCTGGCGCGTCTACAGCGAGCCTGCATGGTGCACTGGGAGCTGTGCTCTCTCCTGCTCACGGCCTACGGAAGCCTGCAGCGTCGAATGGTCGAGTTCATGCGCCTCCTGCCACCGTGGCAGCACCTGCGACGAGTTGTGGAAGGTGCGCTGTCCTTCAGTAGCAGTTGCTTTGGTAGCGAGTATAAATAGTAGCTTTAGTTGCACGTACAGATAGCAAAAATATTTCTCTAACCCTGAGACACGAGAGAAGAGCTTGTTATTCCTGCTGCTTTGGCACGAAGCCTAGAATCTGACCTGTTCTGAAATGGTGCCAACATATACATACTGGGCAGTTCGATTGAATGCAGTCTCCTAGCGGTCTCTTGAACTTTTGATGCTGAATTTACATTGCATTTCTCGCAGCAAGGCATATGTAAGAACACTGCCTTTCGCATAGTGCATATGAGCAGTAGTTTTATGCACATGCCCTGGCCAAAAAGTGATGTACTTGCAGGCACTACGTACACAAAACTAAAGCTCACTGATGATAGGTAGCGTTATGGTTCCAAAGGCTGCGGTTAAAAATAATGCTGAAAAAAAAAAAAAATGTCAAAGATCGATCGAAAATAAATAAGCACACAACTGTGTATGCTGTATGCTTCAAGCAAAATTTTCTACACTGAATCTTACCTGCATGGCATCGTTATTAGGTGGACATATGTCTCAAACCTCATTATAACGAAGTTGCATGTCACACGGAAGTAAGTTTATCACATCTGAAAATTCGTTATAAAGGTATATTTCTAACACTATAACTATTGCAGGACTATTCTTCATTCACTTCATTATAACCGATATTTCGTTATATCTTTGTTCGTGATATCGAGGTTTGAGTCACTGTGTGTTTATTCCAGCTGATCTAGAGTGACGATGAAGGTGTGCATTAGATGACATTCAGAGATGATAAATATAAAAGTCGGTAACGTATTACATTCACGGAATTTAATTGCATATCTTTCTTCCAGACTCTTTACACCTTTCCTCTTGTCTGGAAGGTCTCAGCAACGTGGCAAAGGTAAGCAATGACTGTCAACTTCCAGTATTCTTTCTGGTTTTTGTGTGTGAGCTACAGATGCGTGTGTCTAAAGGGATTTAGTGTGCTGCAATTGATGTCATTATAAGCATTGGACCAAAGTGGAAAGGAAAGTTAGCCTGCCTTGACGGATGAACTGTAACGACAACGCATTGCAGTTTGGCTTCGATTGATATGTGTGAGCCGAACACGATGGTTTGCGGTGCTCTAGGGGCCAGAACGACAATATGATTAGGAGGCACGCCACTGTGGAAGGTACTCCAGAATAACATTGTCAACCTGGGGTTCGTTAATACACACCTTAATCTAGGGCAACGGGGATTTTCACATTGCACAGTCTGAAATGCGGCCATTATGGCTAGGAATTCATCGGTATCCTTGAGCCCGGTAGTGTATCTGTCTACCACAGGGCATGGGCGTGTGCACGGGAGGGGTGGCAAGCGAGGCAGCCACCCTCTAGTCATCGTGGAGGCTGTTGGGCTGAAAAGCCTCTGGCGGGCTATATAGCCTTTTGCTTTTGCTTCATTTTTTTCACCTCAAAATAAACTAAACCAAGAAGTCGGCCCCATAATGTGAAGTGGGGTGCAGCGATACCCCCCCCCCCCCCCCTAAATATTTATGCCACAGTGGGTTACGCTAGGAAAGTGGAGGCACAATGAATAGATCTCTTGAAAAGCGATTTCGGTTCTCCGCATATAACGTGTCATTAGGCTAGTAGCTGCCACCGGTGTCAAACGGTCAATTTTGATTGCGATCAAGTCTGATTCATATTAAATTTCATGATCTGAAGTGGCTCTTTTACACAATCTGTTGGGGAGGACCGAACCACTGTTGAGCAGTATGATCAGCATTGTGCTCAATCGCGATCAGCAGTGCTCCATGTAACATCGGTATCGCCTTCAGAATTAAATGGTTTGCTTGCAGAACAAATTCTACTGCCTTGGTGCAAGGACTCGTACTTTTAAATGTGTGCATCACAATTATTTCTATAAAGGTGAAACAAGGTGTACAGGGCAGGCCGTTTACTTCTATTCACCTTATTCGAGAACGTCGTTGTGTGCACACATTTACAAGTGTGTGTTCCACTGATCTGTCTGTGGTCTTCCATAGTCGTCATCCTTGCGGTATCTGATGAGCGTGCTACACATTGAATTTCGATTGCTGTTCCGGTTGCTCTTTCGTTACTTTCTCGTATCTCTTTTCCACCTTTCTTTCCCCTCCTGGTACCAGGACTGTTTTCACCACCTTAAGGCCCGGAATGTCTCCCCTCCGGAGTGGGACAAAGTCTTTGCTCACATCACGGTAATGGTCGCTCACACCTCTCGATAAGCCTTTCCTCTTTATCTGCGTTTTCTCCATTTTGTGCGTGAGTGCTGTTGCCCCTCACTTGGCGGCTCAGCAGTAGGAGTGTATGGAGTCCGGCGATAAATGTTGGCACTGTGTCAAGAATATCATTTGAAAAATTCTGCTGTGTCTAAAAGTAAAGCACTATGTTGTTTGCTCATATATATTTAAACGTATACTTGGGCATTTCAGAAAGAGGTTAAACTTGGTGGTTTGAGGAAAAACGTTTTTTCAAAACTAAAATGTCAGGCACAGCAACCTCTTCACAAATTGGTTACCGTATATACTCGTGTAAGGGCCGCACTTTTTTTTCGAAAATTTTGCTAGGTGCGGCCCTTACACGAATCAGGCCGATTTAGTACAGGCAGTACAGGCCAAAGGTCTGTACTGTTTATGCAACAGTAGCAGAGTGCAAGAGTCACAAATGACATGCCAGAAATGTTTTTATTCGGATTCCATTTCGCTGTCCTCGTTCTCGGAGGAGCTCGCCTCGGCGTCCGCGTCTTCCCAGAGACGGTCATCTTCGGTGCCGTTCATGGAGTTCGAAATTCCCGTTACCTTGAAGCTTTTAGCAACTACTTCTACTGACATGGCACGCCACGCATTCAAAATCCATTCACACACCTGTTGGAGCGACGCCCGCTTCAGCCGTCCTGTAGGGGTCTTCTCGTGGACGCCTCCAGCCATCCATTCAGAGTAACATCGGCGAAATTCCACTTTGAATGGTCTGTTGACGCATACGTCGAGCGGCTGCAGCACACTCGTCAGGCCACCGGGAATGACGGCCAAGTCCGTACGTTTTATCTGGGTTTTCTTCATTTTGCGCGTGAGTGCCGTTGCCCTTCACTTGGCGGCTAGGCAATAGGGGTGTATGGAGTCCGGCGATAAAAGTTGGCACTGTGTCAAGAATATCATTTGAAAAATTCTGCTGTGTCTAAAGGTAAAACACTATGTTGTTTGCTTGTATATATTTAAACGTATACTTGGGCATTTCAGAAAGTGGTTAAACTTGGTGGCTTGAGGAAAATAGTTTTTTCAAAACTAAAATGTCAGGCACAGCAACCTCTTCACAAATTGGTTATGTAGAAGTATATATTGCAATTGATAAATTGCAGTTACTTGGAATAAAGTTCGAGGGTCGCACAGATTGCGAGGTGTATCGAGCTTGTGGCAGAAATGCACTGTTTTGGCTACTTTTGTGAGAAAATGTGGTTCTGTGCATCAAAGCACAAACTTAGGTGGAACACTTGCATATTTCGTGGCACGCTTAACGTCTCAAAATAAGTCTCCCCTGAAATTTATTGCCACATTTTGATCTTTGAGCGCTGTGCACGTGCAGACACTCGTTTTCAACGAAATACTTTTGTTCTGAGTTATTAGTGCTTTCGCTTAGTTATAAATTTAACTCCTGCACAGAAGTCAGCTTGACATCTAGCAGTAGTTTACTTCACTAGTGATAGTGAAGTTACCTGCATGTACATTGCGTGTGCTCAGTTATTGGTAACACATTTGCTGACGAAGCGTGTTTATGTGCATGTGCAGCAAGCGGAGAACGAAGAGGATTTTGTGGCAGTGGCACACAGCGACGTGGCGCAGCTCTGTGGTGCCCTAATTGTGCTCTGGAAGCAGTTCCTCGAAGTGGTTGCTGACCAAGACAGAGTACGCCAACAGCTAGCCCGCCAGCGCCACCTTCAGCGCGTCAAGCGTTTCGCTGAGGCCTACTTCGTCATCGAGCGGCCGCGCATCGCCGTCCTGTCCGCCAATGATGCCAGGTGAGACAAACGTCCAGGGCATGGCAGTGCACTCAAACTTTATTGTAACAAACATGGATGTAACCAAATATGTGTTATAACGAAGTAAGTAAGAAAAGTGCAACAGATGCACTATTAGGAATAACCTTCATGAAGAACCAAATTTGTAGTGGACAAACGTTTTAATATATAACGAACCTATTTTCTTGCGAGATGCAACTTTGTTATAATAAGGTTCGAGTGTAGCAGTGAATGGCATTGAGTAAGGCAATGATGTCGAACTCTGATGTATCCCATTCAGACGTAACTGTCATACAATTAATGTGCCTTAGGTACCATAGTTTATTGTAATATGCTGGATACTCCATAGCCGAAGATTAAAGGGACATCAAAGTAAAACAATAATTTAGTTTAGACTGACAAACTATACCCTGAAGACAGTTGACAGATGACATGCAGAGATGATACCCTGAAAACAGTATCTTCGTTAATTTCACCACCATAAATTTAATAATACTGTAGATTCTCAATAAACAAAAATTTATTAAAAGGAATGGTTTCTTAAATGGAAAAACTATCTTTAAAATGATTGGTTAATTAATTTAAAGTATTTTTCTATTTAAATATTCGTTCTAAAACTCAAAGGTTAATGTCACGGATTTCAGTGTTTTTACGTATTTTGGCCACATTGGTTCTTGGAAATTTCCCGAAACTTTGTATGCCAAGTCTGTGGGTCCCCTTAGAGTGCTATGTTTATTTTTACGAATCAGAAATGACGTGGGTCCTTGTAGATGCCAGCGAAATTTGCAGTATCAGGGTGATGGGTGCAGGAACTACGAGGTGGCATGGCCATCTATGTTTTTCTTTTTCCGTGCAGCAAGCACGGTGTCTTTGGTGCCATGATAATGTACAATTTGCTCATTAGACCAAAATAGTTTTTTTTTTCCTTTAGTGTCTCTTTAAGGTAACACAGCATTGCATGATTTCTGCTGTGATAGTTATGGAGTGATGATAGCATAGCTCTGTAATGAACTATGATGGATCTGTGTAGCCGTGATAGCCACAGAGTAATTCAATATATACTCACTGCACTGTTGCTCAGATACTGTTCTGGCGAAAAAGTAATTGGTTCGCCGACTCTGGTACATACTCGAGTGAACTAGAGACTACAAGCAGAACAGATATGCAAAAAAATTCTTTCTTAATTTCTATTAGTGGCTAATTCTATTTCTAATTTCCATTAGTCACATTGTAGTGTTTCTTTTGCAGTAATAATATCAAGCAATAGGCAGCAACTTTTGACAGCTAGAGCACAGCCCTCAACAACAGCTTTTGGTCATGAGATTTCCGAAAAACTGGACTACCAGTTAGCCTACAATGGGGAGCAATAAAATGTTCCCCTCCTTAGTAGTTTTTACGACCTACCTAATTTCCCACTAAACTGGTAGCATTATGCTATAACAGCAGAAATTTACCACGTACGCTTTACAACTCATCGGCGTGTAGACTCAGTCCCATTGCCGCCTCCTCATGCAAAAAAAGGGTGCGTAGCTCCGCGTAGTCATTTGCCAAGTCTAATTGCGGCACGGGGACGCGTTTTAACGGGTACGTCTGGTTAGGACTTCATGCTATAACAGAGCAGAAATTTGCATTTGGCGTGGACTTCATGCTCATAAACCTCCGTAGCTGGATGTACAGTACCGTCATTGTTAAAGAGAATGCCCTGATGAGCACCTGCTATGTGGCGGGCATCATAACTGCAAGTAGAAGTAGAAACATTGTTCGTGCGCCGCACTAGTCCATCAAAGAAGTCAATTAGCAGCGGTCTTATGCAAATCTAAGCCACTATGCTTTCGCCAGAGAGCGATATCCGGACATGGCGCACCTGAAAGTGTTCACTTTAACTGTAAACCTGTCTGTGCATTACATCTAAAGTTGCATAGCCTTTCGTGCAGTGTTTTTTGCATTCACTGCAGCACGCAGCTCTTCTTTGAGGTGACGGAAGCGCTTCGGCGATCCGAATACCTTGCCCTGCTTCCTCCGTTGGAAGTTGAGTGTGCCGAGTTGGATGGCGACAGCAACAACCTGCCCATCATATACGAGGAACACTACCAGGATTTCAAGACAACACCTCAAGGCTGTGCATCTCGTGAGCTTTCTGTCTTGTCCATTTGTTTCATTTTGTGATACAGTTGAGCGCACATATAACGGCCCCCCCTTAAAGCGAACTTTTGCTTAACTCTTTCGTTACTGCATGAAAACCGTTGTTTTTGATATATCTCGAGAAGATCGTTTTTGCCACTTCGAAAAGTACTCCAGCACGCATCACTGCTTACCAAACTCTGCACAATGAAATGCTCTTTTCAAAAAATATATGTTGTAGAGCAACAAGAATATTTTAGAATGAATAAATTGTGAGAAGTGTAGAATTTTTGGCTGCCAGATAGTAAACAGTGCAATAAAAACACTATATATGCAAAAATGTTCAAAACAAAGAAAATTCAGAATATACATTTTGTAAATAAATGACCCAGGAACAGTGTAAAAAATAATGAATGTGCAAAATCTTCCTCTTCACATAGACAAAAAAAAAAAATCATAACCGAGGTGCTGCTGCATTGCTCACGCCATGTGGTGAAGCATTGCATAGTTTTTCGTGAAACACAAGTGTACTCATACTCCTTTCTCAGGAAATTTTTGTTGTCTTGCAATGAGAGTCTCCAGGTGTCCCAATATACACTCAAACATCATTATAACGAAGTTGATGGAGAACCACAATTATTTCGTTAAATCCATTATTTCCGTATATCGATTATAACAGTTTGTGGCAATGTATGTTCAGATGGGCGCACACCTATAAGCATGCAAAGAAGGAAACCGCCTCGCGGCCCGACGTACCGCTACACGACCTTGGTGCGACGGAAAAGAAACACAGTCGAATCTCTTTAATTAAATCGAACACGCTTAATTCGAACTTCCGGTTAATTCGAACTCGTGCTGTGGTCTCGTCAAACATATGTGTATTCTAATGGGCGAAAACTTCCTGTAATTCGACACGCAAGCACTTGCTACGGTTAATTTGAACATACCGCGCTCCAAAAATGCTCTCAGCACCATGCCCAATCCCGCGGCGGCACCTTTCAACGCTGTGCGTGAAGGAAAAGAAGAAAAGGAAAGAAAAGACTGTGGTAGATTCTTTGCTCTCTCTCAAATGCCAATCTGCGACACGCCTGTGCCACGCTTCTCCCGTTTCCGTCTCTGCACATGAAGACCCTTCTTTCAAGGCCGCGCATGGAGAGGGAGGAAAAAAGAAAAAGGAAATCTGGCGCGGAGAGTTGGCTCACTCTCATATGCTGATCCGCTTCTCTCCGCGTGGAGACACTCCTTCTTTCTCGGTGCATAGGGTAGCAACGGAGACGCAGTCGTTGCCGTCGTCTTTAGAGAGCATTGGCGCTGGACTTAGCCGCGCGCTACTATGCTTTGCAAACTGCATGTGAAATTGACTCGCTGCAAGGCAAACGTGAGGAAACGCGCATCACCGATTACTTCATTAATGATGGATGTCCTCTGACTTGTGAATAAATGTCTTCTGAAGCTTCCCCATCGTGAGAGGGAAATCGCTTTGCACCGTGGCGCCGCTTCTTGGTCATGTGACCCGGCTGAGCGCTTCCTCAATCCTCTCCGCTGGCTGTGTGAGGAGGACGGCTCTCTCGGCCGCACGTGGCGTGGCTGTAAGGTCGGCGCAGAAGTTTTGAAAGAGTCGCACCAAGCGAGCGTCAAACTCCGCAGAAAACAATATACTTAACACACAACGGTCGGTTTTTTATAGACTATTTGATAGACTAATTTAGCTCGTTATATCCATTTACCGGTCAATTTTACTTTGTTAGAACAGGTTTAAAATGCATGGTTCTCAATGGAGCTTTTAAGGGGAATTTCATTTACTTTGTTATATCCTGTATTTCGTTATATCCCGTTAGGTTATAACGAGGTCTGAGTGTAGATGGATACTCGTGGTGTGAATAATTCCTTTATAAATGAAGTGTCCAATGAACTTCTCTGTTTCATCTAGCGTCGCCTCTTTCCATGAGCCAACTTATTCCGCATAGGTAGGCATTCCCATATATGCATTCAAGCATAATTTTTTTTCGTTTTCGCACATATCGTATTAATAAAAGGATAATATCATGTGCAGTTCTAAAAGGTTTTGCACTGTTCCGCAGTCAGGGCCAAGATGTGCTCCGGGAGCTTTTTTTTAGTTAGAAGAAGCTCTGCAGCCAGTGCCAGCACACCGCATGCGTAGCCAGAGTAGCTATAAGATTGTGCACAAAGGTCAGAAGCTATACACAGTTGTGGCGGAGGAGACAACTTTATGATGTAAACAAAACAAACCCGTGAATGGCTGCAGATGTCTCAGTCTGATGCAAAACATCATCGTTGTAAAACTTGAAGCTGAGGTGCTGTCATCTTCAAACTCTAAGCTCGTCCTCACTCAATTCAGATGGGGTAACAAGAGAGTTTCGACGAGTGCATGAGTTTTGCAGCGCTGGTGTGCACCCATGCGCACGTGACGACGGTGCCATAGGAGCGACTAGTATTGCTAGATGCAACTCTGTGTCTGATATAACTATGCAAGCAAATTTAACGTTGCTGGAAACTGTCGTAGAGGGCCACTTCGACTCTTAAAACACACGGTGGACCTTCGCAAATATTTCTTTGTAGAACAAATTTTCCCCAACTCCTAGGAACAGCTCTCTATTGAATATCTGGCGTATTATTATAGCAATTACAGTCGCCGACCGATTTTTCGGACCTGGCGGGGACCGAAAAAAAGTACGAAAAATCGAACAGTCCGAAAAATTCGTTTTCGCCAAAAATCTGAAGTTTATTGCATCAGGCAGGTTTAAAAAAGTCCTTGATGCTGCCTTGCCTCAAGCTACGCTTGGAGGCAATTTGGTTTGCCCGTATTTGCGCCAAGGTGACATCGTCGCCATAAATGCTCGACAAAATTGTCACCGCGTTGGCGATCTCCGCCGCCGACGGCTGCGGGCGGTCGTCGTTGTCGTCATCCGAGCCGCTCTCCGGCTCCGGGACAACCTGGCGAAGAATTTCGTCGTCAGTGGCCTCCGCGCACGAAACAATGTCGTCGTCCGCACGAGTGAAGTCTTTAAATGTCATTGTGGCAGGTAGAGAATCCTTCTTTCGCCTCCTCCCCGTGCGATGTGATGACGATAGTGCTGACCGAAGACGAAAAAACGGCATCCATCACCGCGTCTTTTAAAAAGCAAACACGGCCTCCGAAACTTAAAATATGGCGTGCGCATTCCAATCTCGGAGGCAGGAAAAGCATCTGAAGACCAAGCTTAGCCAAGCCGACAGAAAATCCAACATGGCGGCGTTCACAATGGCTTGGGGCGTGGCACAAAACGAGCGATTTAGTCCGAAACATCGAACTTTCAGAGGCAAATTCGCCCGAAAAATCGGTCAAAACAATGCATTAGCTCTATGGGATCCCTGACGGTGCATTTATGAAGTCCGGAATATCCAACAAGTCCGAATTTTTGGAGTCCGGAAAATCGGTCGGCGACTGTATTACTGTTTAACATTGAGACATTGCGAAGCTGACACTTTAATTTGATATTCGGCTAGCAAAGGCTCTTTTCATTACAGAACTTCAATGTTACTGTACTATAATCACGAGGGGCACACACTTCTGTCAAGTTTGCCATTCTAGTGCACTTTTCGAACAAAATGTCTGTCAAAAATCACTATGTTGCTGAAACGAGCAAATTCAAATTGAATCTGAAAGTTGAGCACCTGAACTAACTACTAAATTGTGCTGGGTGCACAAGAAACAAATTTAACAAGCCAAAATGGATGATCCAAAAGCTTCGACCACCGGTGATCGATTTGAATAGGCGTGGTAACGAAAGAGTTGAAACGAATGGTACCAACGTGACCATGGAAATGTACATTATTTCAATGGCACGAAATCACACTTACAATGAACGCCTCTGAGCACCGCCGATTGGTTACAGCGAACGGAGACGGTGCTCCGGCGACATCTCATGAAACCACTACAGTAAAAGCTCGTTAATTCGGATTTCACGGGACCGGAAAACTGTCCGAATTAACCGAATGCCGAATTAACGAATGAACAGGGAAAACAACATTTAAAATCAAGCTGCTGAAGCATACCTTTATTTGTTGAAGTATTTTGTAATTGTCGTCTGCGTTTTCGCGCAGATTCCGGCTGACGTCACAATTTTTCTTAACTGTTCCAAATGGCCAACAGCACGCAAGCTGTCGGGAGTGTTCAGGCAAGCGTCCTCTAACATTAACAGCGCCTCCGAGACTTCCCGTGAGGTGCGATTAGGTCGCGGCTGTATCTCCTCGCATGATTCTTCGTCGGAATCGCGGTCTTCATGGGCGCCCGTGACATCATTAATAATCTCTTGATCGGTCAGGAGACCACTCGTGGCGACACCATGATCAATCGCGATGTAGTCCTGAAAGGTCACATCTGTGGGAAGGACAGCATCGAAAGTCGGGCAGTCATCGTCGGTGGACTCGGCTGACACCTCCTCGATGCCATCGTCAGCTACTGCTGCATGCTCGGGCCTCACAAAACCGCTGTGCCGAAAACAGTTGGCGATGACTTGCGGCGGAGTGTTTTTCCACACGTGGGCGATGATGTGCACTGCGCCGAGAAAGTCCACTTGATACAACTTTCCAGCTTCTGAGCATAGGATCATTCGCTCTAGCAGGTGCTTGCGGTACTTCGACTTCACATAGTGAATGATACCCTGGTCCATCGGCTGAAGAGCAGACGTAGTGTTGGGCGGCAAAAAAACTACTTTGATGCTCTTCAGTTCGACTGTACAGTTATGGGCACTGCAGTTGTCAACAACCATAATTATCTTGCGGTCCTTCGACGGGAAGTGCCGGTCCAACTGCTGCAGCCAGCCGCGAAAAATGTCCGATGTCATCCATGCCTTCCTGTTCGCTGTGTACTCTACAGGAAGGCTTTTGACGTTCTTAAAACAACATGGCTTAAGCGCCTTCCCGACGACAAGTAGTGGCAAGCGCTCCGTGCCAGTCATATTGGTGGCAAGAAGCACAGTTATCCTTTGCTTGCACTTCTTGCCACCAATCCACACGTCCCCTTTGAAAGTCACCGTCTTGTCGGGCAGAGCTCTGAAAAATGGAGCAGTTTCATCTGCATTGAACACGTCGCGTGGTTCATATGCGGCGATGTGCTCCAGCAGCTTCACATTTCTCCACTTGGTGGTCACGCTTTCGTCAACACTGGCCTTTTCGCCGCACACACTCTTGAAGACAAGTTCGTGTCTCTCTCGAAACCTCGCAAACCACCCTTCTGACGCTTTGAACGATTCAATGTTCATCATTGCAGCATACTTCTCACCTTGCGCCATGATGAGAGGTCCGCTCAAAGGCAGATGCGCGTTGCGACAGTCAGTAATCCACCGGAGCAAAGCTTCTTCAAGCTGGGGATGAGCTGCGGTTCGCAACCGCTTTCTAGAGGCATGAAACTTCTCGCTTTCGAAGGCTTGTCGAATCTGTTGTTCATTTTTCACGTACGTTCCCAACGTGCTCCGCTTCACGTTGTACTTGGTCATAACCTGCTGTCGCGATTCGCCGTTCTTCAGTGCTTCCAAAATTTCCACTTTAGTCGCCAAGTTCTTCGCGTCGTAGTTCTGCCGCTTTTTCGGCGTTGCCATCACTGTAGCGCACGATGGTGGTGGCATGCAAATACGGTCACAATGGAAGAAAATGAGAACTCCGCAAGAAGAGATGGTTCCGACACGACAACACAAGGGAAAATGGCGTCGGAGGCGCTGAGTGGAGAAGAAAGAAGACGCTGGCGTTCGGTGACACTGCGATCGCCCCCACTAGTTGATGATGATGGCGATGCCACTCAGGTTTCGGTTTCACTCCAGTGGTGCCAGCGCTGCTTTATCACACTTTTGTGTAGCAGCGGCCGTCAGCATTTGTCCGAATTAAGCGGTGCGGAGCCGAATCCCGACGAAATAACGAAGGTTTGGTCCTATAGATTAACATGCACTTTGGCCGGGACCAATAGAGCCGTACGAATTATCCGAATTTCCGAATTAACGGGTGTCGAATTAACGAGCTTTTATTGTATTCACTGCCAATAAGTCATCGGAAAGTTGCCCATAGATTTTTATTGTTAAATGCCGACTCTGCCTTGACAGCCTGATAGTTGTTGCTGTCCCTGATTGTTTTTTTTTTTGTTATGCACCCTTTCGTTTTTTGTTCTCTTTGCTACTCTGGGCACCCCACATTGCAAGACAAGGCCCGTGTTTTCGTACTGCCAACAATCATTCGAAGACCTGTAGGCTGGCTAGTCTCCCCTCAGATTTTGATCGCTCGTCTTGTTCCACTATCGTTGGCATCTCCAGTCTGTAGTCACCAGACCGTTTGCCAACATCATAAGCCAACATTGACTGCTTGGCATGTGTGTAATTTTCAAGTTTGACTTATTATAGGTACTGCGTTGTGGAGCTCTTGCTCATAGCTGTTGACCGCCCAGCAGCCAACTGCCCGCTTCAGACGTAGATGGTGAAGAATTTTTGGGCAGAGGTGACGGCTAGATATGTGCGAAACTTTTTGTGAGGCCTACTTTGTCAACCTCGGACCCGATGCCAAGCTTGAAGCTTCTGAAGAGGACCACTCCAGCGGCGATTTGTGGCAGCGCGTCCTCGACTCCAACGTGGCAGAGGGGGACTGCTGCGATGATTTCATTATGACCAATGATGATGCTGACACTGCGAAACCATGCACCGATGAGGGCATTGTGAATGAAGTGCGCGGCAAGAGCAATTTAGAGGAATCGGAGGATGACGGTGATGAAACTTTGTAGCCAGTACCCACAAGTGCGCTTGTAGCGATTGGCTGCATTAGTAGCCTCGGGCAGCTATGCCATGGGCTTTGACGAAGAGCACACTGCCACATTAAAGAAACTCGGGTCCAACCTCATCACTTCTGCTCTACAGTCGCATACATTACAGTCTTTCTTGCGAACAAAAAGTTGTGGTTTTACACGCAACTTTTTTAAAGCTGTGTTTCATTTACCGTATTTTTTGCATAATAGGCGCACCCGCATAATAGGTGCACCCACAGGTTGGTCGCAAGAAATCGGATTTTTTTTATTTCCGCGTATAATAGGCGCACACAGAACTTGGCCGTGATCATTGCATTTGCACAGTTGCAATTCGATGCTGTCTTACATTAACTGAAGTGAAGGTAAGAAAAAAGAGAAAAAAAAGACTGTGGCAGCGCTGTGCCAGCTTCTCGGGCTCGCCGAGTGAGGAAGAAGGCCAGTTTTCTGGGTGTCAGAATAACCATTTCACCGGTGCCGGCATGGCTCCGGCCACACACGCTCTGCATGGAACATGTAATTGCGTCGTCTAGTGTGCATTGAGTTTCCTGTCAAAAAAAGTGTCGCCGTTGTCGCGTTTGCTACCTTGTCCGCAAATTTAAAAGCTTTTTGGCTTTCTGAACGAGCTTTCAGCTTTTTCTGCCGCATTCGGACTTGCACAAGCTCGGCAGGATTGATTTACTGGCTTTAAAACTAAACATTGTATTAGGCCCTCTGCTTTTAGATCATTGCTTGATTGTGATCTTTTCGACGCCCAATCTTCATGTTGTCTTGTACCAACTTTCCACGACAACATGCCGAACCATAGCCTAGGCCTAATCACTGTTGGTGCTATTTAGGTGGCAGTTGCAGGCAATCGAAGTTGTGGTTTTGTACCAAATGGGGCCTTGGGTGGCACTTGTAACACTCAAATGGTTTTTGCAATTCGAGTGCAATGTCTTTGAATATGGGTTACGAGCCCATTAAATGAATTATCAGTACTGTTCAGCGCACGAAATTTCGTTTGGGGTAATGTGCATAATCAAGGTGGCTTGAAATGTAATCAGTGAATTCCTATGACGGCACTTTCTTTACGGGTTCATTTTTTTTTTTCGCATTCATTTCGTTGGCAGCACCAATCTCTCAATGTTATTTTTCGGAAATTTAGATGCGGCATCGCAAGCCTCGATTCTCGGACGTGCGATACAGCATGCTCAACATGTTTCGCGCTAGTGTAGCCTATGAAGGATGTTGATTTGGCTGTAGTGGGGATATTCGTGAGTTCGGTGACCCATATTTTATCCACGGTCTATACTTGTCGAACATGAAATTTTTGGAAAATTTACCCTGCGTAATAGTTTCACCTCGAACTTAAAGCCGCATTTTTTGGAAAAACAGTGCACTTAATATGCAAGTAAATACGGTACTACGAACTTCGTGATACAGCAAATGGATGACTCGTCACGCTCAGGTTTGTTATAAGCTGGCTCGACCATATTGTCCTGGCAGTCTCCGCTAAAGGTTAACAGTTTCCTGTTTGGGCCATGACAATGGTGTTGCAGCTCCATTGTCAGAATAATAAGTTGTGTGCAATTAAGACCCAGCATTTGAAGCGGACCAACACAGTGTGCACATTTCTCTGCAGTTTATGGGAAAATTGGTGTAGAGAAATCATGTTCAACAGAGCTTCCTCAACAAGATAGTGCAATCTTGAAAATACGTGAAGTTATAAAACAGAAGCTGTGCTTAGTATTACAGCAGTAGTTTTGTCATTATCGTCTTACGTTGTATTTGCCTACTACAATTTAATAGCTCTTGCCCGAAAAATAGTTGTTAGAGATATGGAGCAATTAGCCTAGCTAACTTACGATCTCTGTACCTATCCTTAAACTGACTGTGAAGCATCGTATTATATTTTGTAAACTAGTCACATCTTATTTTGTGTCAATGCTCAGACAACAACTTATTTTTTCTTTTGATATTGCAATGCTTCTAAAACGAGGGCAAGGTTTTATGACGTTTAGCATCTTGTACGTGTTCTAGAATTTGCAATGTTTTCTGCATATGTTACCAGTTTTTTTATACGTGTTAACAAGTAATTTATACTTTTCTGTTTCAGAGTCCTGTCTGAATCTCAGTGACATTTCGCTCCAGTTCGATGACAAGCGTCCCTCGGCATCCGCCGTCAGCAGTATGAAGCTGTCAGAGAGGGCCGCAGTGGCTTCCAAGTTGCTGGGCGAGAAACTAGCGCCGCTACGACATGGCTCGCCGACGCTCTCCGCTGATGCTGACCTGGGTTCTCCCACCTCTACATCATCAACATCGTCCGCAGATACCCAAGACCGCGATGGTGCCACCCGTTCTGGGAAAGGAAGCGCTTCATCGTCGCGAGGCAAAGTCAAGTTAAAAGCACGCACTGCCAGCCTGCTCCGCCAGCTGAAACGACCGCACCTCAACAATTCGTCCGTAACGCTGCTTGCGTTCAAGAAACTTGATGCGTTTCGGAACCGGGCTGTGGAAGCCGGTGGGACCGCTTCCGGCTCGCAGATGAAGCACTCGCAGAGCTCAGTTGCAGTCACGTCGGCGAATTTGTCACTTCCACGAACCGCCGCAACGCCTTCACAGTCTCACCTTCTCAACAGTGAGTCGATGCCCGACCTGACAACCCAGTTGGTAGCGGTGCCGGCACGGACGGCACTACAAGCTGTACCTCCAGCTCCGCCACCACCAAGGTCCCGAGTAGCAAGTGACAGTCTCAACGCCAACTTTGATGCGCTGTTTGTCAGTGATCCGCTCGTTGCCAGAAAGGCGGTGTCGGAGTCGTGCTCATGCGTGAGACCACACCTTCGAACTGCCCTGGCTCATAGCCTGACGGCCGCGAAATATAGACGGTCCACATCGTCGTGCCATGTGGGTTTCGACGCCCGTCGCACTTCAGTGCCGCTCTCAAATGCACACGACCCGAGGAGAGGGTCTCTTGGGATTCCCGACTTTCGGCGGGAATCGCTTGGAGTTTCCGATTCGAGACGGGAATCCCTCTGCATTCCGGACTCGAGGAGGGAGTCTCTTGGAATTCCCGACTCGAGGAGAGATTCGTTAGACGAGGTCTTTCTCTGTCCCGGAACCGGAGGCTCCAGTAAGTCCACATCGGGTTACGAGAGCGCAGACACGTCCTCTGACGTTGTGACGATTGCTCCGATGCCAGAGAAAAATGCTACATCACCCCTCGATGGCGGTACGTCGTTGCCTCCTCTACCACCTCCGCAGTTTCGAGACAACCCCAAGGACGCTGCCATTGGAAATGTTGTTGCCCGTACTTCTTCAACGTCATCTTGTAAAGAAAAACAGTGTAGCAACTCTTCCTGCTCTCGGGAAAAAAGTGCTAATGGTTCTACGCCTTCTGTGGGAAAACCGGTCGAACCCGTGAATCCTCCCATGATGGCATGCGAAGGTACGGCATTCTTCCCAAAGCCACCGGCTGAGTTTGCAAGCGATCAGGCTCCATGCTCGGCTGCTGTGCCTGCTGAAAACGGTGACGATGAAGAACAGCCCGCAGAGGATCCCAGTATGATTCAGAACGGCGTCGAGAAAGAAGTGTGCCCTTCAGACGAGGAGGCAAGGCGGCGGTACGAAGAGTGTAGGTCGTACCTCGAAACGAAGTGCACTCTGATAGAAATGCTGACCGACCCGAAAGACGAGTACCATGCGGCCCTGGACAGTGTTGTGGAGGCGTCGCAGGAATTCTGGCAGCAGATAGAGGCCGAGAAAGACGAAAATGCGAACGACGAAGCTGAGGACGTCGTTTCCGTGCGGAGGGCTTCTGCAGTCAATGCTGACATTGTCAGGTGCGTTCTTTGTTGTGATGCATTATGGGGTCTTGAAGTAGTAACATGTTTGCAGACTGTTGCACAATACGTTCAGTGGTTCTTAGTTAACATGCAGTCAAACCCAGATAAGTATCTAAAGAGGATCACGGAAGAGTTATCTACAGTAGAACCTTGGTGATATGATCAATGCTCGTACGAATCAGGAGTAATACAGTGGACTCTCAGTAAACGGAAATCTGATAAACGAAACTTCTGCTTAAATGGAACAACTGGCTCTGATATGATTGGTTTCATCACTGCATACTGCACCCCAGTTCACCTCTCAGTGAATGGAACGCCTTTAAACGAAACACGTTTTCTCGGTCTCTTCAGGTTCAGTTTCATGAGAGTCCACTGTACAAATTTTTTTTTTATCCTGGCCAAGGCCTATTAGCATGCAGTGTAATGAAGTAAGATTGTTGCGAAGTGATTTTCTCGAGAATTATGTATCATTTGGGTCTGATCTGTATCTTGTATTACTAAATCTCTCTTCAACATTGTTTGCAAATTTGCTGCCTGTCATAACCTTCATAAAGAAATAAATTGTCATTGGTTGGAGCATAAATGCGAGTGGACCAGTGCCCAAATTTGAGCATGCTAATTATTTAGGCACATGATTTGGAAAAGAATTATTTTGGGAGCATATTTTAATTATCTTTTTTTTTTCCTATTAAGCTTTGTGAAGGCGAAAGAAGAATTCCGTGCCCACCTAAACATGCCTTGGCTCTGGTACAGGTCAGTACTGCTTCTCGATTTGATATCCTGGTTGTGGTGATCATAGTATTTATCATCATTTTATGCAGTGGTAGCCACGGGCAATTAACTCTTAATTATGCTATCTTAACAGGACTGTGAAATTAGCTGGTGTTACCAAATATTGGGATTACTACAAGTGTTTCAAGCATAAGCACCTCTTCGATTTTTGAACTTCGCATATTTTGTTTGATACTATAATAGTTTAAGAATATTGATTTAATAATTGGTCGAGTTAAAAGGCTATAGATTCGTCCAATCGAAAAGAAATATCGTGATCTCGCTTTACAGCGCAACACTGGAGCCGCAGACACCAGGAGGGAGCAAAAGAGAAAGGAAAGACGGTGCTGTCTTTTCTCTTGCTTCTTCCCTGTGTCTGTGTTTCTATTGTTGCACTGTAAACCAAGTTCACGATGAATCCCAATTAACTGGTCCAAGTTTCAATCTCACTGCAAGAAGAAATAGACATCGGCCGGTCACGTAGCTAGAGGCAGGATAGCCGCTTGTCATTAAGGGCGACTGTCTTGATTACAAGAGAAGGAAAACTTGCGATGGGAGACCGAGAGTTAGGTGGGCAGGTAAAGTTAAAAAGCTTGCATCTACAATGTGGCAGCAGAAGGCATAGGCCGAGACGATTGACAGACATGAGAAAGGCCTTTGCCCTGTAGTGGAGTTAGGCTGATCGTGACGAGTTGTCCTGTTAGAATTACGCCCAGACAGTCCTGTAGCAGTGCTGTTGTGGTGGCACCGGTCGAAATATAATGCTACATGCATTCGCAGAATTCTACACACAAGAGCAGGAGAGCATTTCGTGCCAAGTTGATGTCGGTAACTAAAGGGAGTGGTTTTAAATGTGTGGTACATGCTGCTTGCAAGCCGATCTGGTACTGTAGATGTGGCTCTACGCCGCATGTGAAGCAATACCCGGACCTTGCTGCTTCATTAGTGGAGCATGTCTCATGTTTCCCAAATTCTCAACCAAAGTTCTGAAGCGTTTTCTTGCTTACTGTCTCGTTGCAGTGATTTCCCGGTTCTGGCATCGTCAGTGCCCTACTTCCAGTGTGATACCGACCTGCGGGCATTCAGCCCTGAAGGACTTCATCTTGTGATATGTGTGCATGGCCTGGATGGTACGTGCCTAAAGTTTCTAGTCTTTAATCTTTAAACCAGCATGCACTAGTTTATCTGTGCATGCTTCTCCAGCTTAAAGATTTTAAAACTTCTAAAACATTGAAAAATATTAGCAAATTATGCTTAGTTGACATCGATAACATGTTACTATGTAATTATACAACACTGACTTTGGAATTACTAGTAAAGTTCAATGACTGATTTAGTTCAATAGCTATATCACTCATATTTAAGTGCAGCTTGTGACAAAAGTTTCAACACTAAGCATACAGTAGACTCCCAGTAAGCGGAAATATGTTGAGCGGAACAACTGATTTTAATGGTACGACTGCCTCCATTATGATTGGTTTCGTCAACATGCGCTTCAAGAATTTGAATTTCTCCATTTTGCCTGGCTACATTTGCATACTGAGACCTCGTCATGTGCAATGTTTGAACAATATTTTTAAAACTCTTGTTCTGGTTTTGCAATGCAGGAAACAGTGCCGATTTGAGGCTAGTCCGCACGTACCTTGAGTTGGGTCTACCCATGGTCAACTTTGAGTTCCTCATGTCCGAAAGGAATCAGGTGACTAGCTGTTATTTACGGCTTCTTTTCTTTTGTGCATGTTTGATAAACTAAATTATTATGAACAATAATTTGAGCCTGCTCAGATTGGTTTTGCGTACATATTACATTGAATGTGTGAAGGTGTTAACAGGAGAAGTCGTTAATGTACAGAAGATTTCTTTTGTCTTTGCCTTCCTGTTGGTTCAGGAATGTGTTGCAAGTATGTTTGTGCTGTAATTGAATATATCATGAGATGGCACTTCCGACACGTCTGCGTCACTGGTGGAGCTGTGCGCTGCCGCTCGTTTTTGGTTGCGCCGTTCGCGCTGCCCGCCGCCGAAGTCCTGAGAAGGACTACGCCGCCGCTGCACAATAATTGCGACACGCCATTGTTAGTCTCAGTTTAACCCTAGCGGGAAACGTGGGCTTAAAATACATCACTTCACTTTCCTTTCGGCAGCTTTAAGATTTCGAAAGCAGTGTTTTCAGTGTCTTGCCTACTCTCTTGTGTCCATCTTTGCATGCCGTCACTATAAGGGCTCTAAAGCAGCTTCTGACAATACACAATCGATCGCATTATTCTCTCTTGTCATTTTTCTCTCTCTTTTTTTTTCTGCACTCTTCATGATGCCAAGACGGTGATTCACATGGCATGATTGTAGCATGACCATCGTACGCGATGGACTTGTGATTTTGCAGCATTTTGGGAGTTATCAATTGTGCAAGCAGAAATAACAAGGGTGTAGTTGACAAGCTCGACATACTGATAGGCTCAACGCTTGGCGCCCGCATTACATGCATGCCTTATGAAGACATAAGTGTGGAAGAGGTGAAGCCTGCAAGAGTTACAGTTAAAGGAGTGTAGTGGAGAATGCAATGAAAGGAAAAGGTGCCAGATCATTTCATTCTCTCTACGGACGAATTTTTTACAGCGAAGATGACGCAGCTCTCCAGAAAAAAGGCCAGCCCCAGAAACGTCAAGAAACGTCAAGAAATGTACCAGAAACGTCAAGTTTCTGGTACATTTTTTTACTGCGAAAAGAATTATATGAATACTCTGTACAGGCTTGCATCATCACCGTCATGGTCTGTATAAAGTCTGCATCGATAACATTTTTACGCGCATTGTACGCTGTTCCCGTAAGTAAAATGTAGCGAGCGCTAGCGAGGAACACTGCTGAAGCACGGGTGCTCATCTCCATCGCACGAAGAGCACGTGCGATAACATCACTCCGCGTGCGATGCCTATCGTCGATTGCTCCTCAACTGGAAAGGAAGCCCTGTCCGTCTTTTGCTGGATGAGTGAGTATGAAGAGACGCTGAGGTAGGATGCTCTGAGCTCAGTCTGCAACTGTGAACTTTGAACACCCGCTATTTCAGCAAGCATCAGCAAACGGCTTGTGTACCCTTCTCCGCGCTTTGATATCACTGCACGAACACTGCTGTTTCTGGAAGTGGCCCTATTTCTATACAACAGCGTTTTGCAGTTTCATGAAATCAGATCAGAAAGAGTTAGCTGCAGCCGTAGTTCGTTATGGGGCTGCATGCTCCTATTGCACGGTGTAAAATGTGAAGTCATCGAAGGATTTTTTTACCATGAAGCTGTTGAAGTCGCCTCGAACTTAGAGGAGTTCATCTGCTGCCTATCAGATGAACCTCGCCCTTGTGATGTGCCGCCGGTGATTTCGGCACCGGAGCACAGGTCTAGTCACTGGTGCTTATGTGTTCCGGTAATTTGTAAACCGTCGTGCATTATCAGAAAGGCTGAAACTCTGAACGCAGTTAATATTCCCACATCTAAGGGTGTTTATGTATCCATAGTTCGATCACAAATGTAACTTAGAGAAGTGTGGCAGTTTGGGCTAGTTGGTATGACATGACGATAGTTACAGCGTGAGAACAGAACGACGACAAAGTGTCCTCCTTGTCTCTTTGTCGTCGTTCTGTTCTCGTGCTATAACTATCGTCCATCACAAAATTAAGTAATCACTTCAATCGTACCGTTTAAAATGCCCTCCAGTACAATCCAGTGCTCCTGTAAAATGCACTCCATTAAAATGTACCCCAGTAGCCAATATAGCTTGGAGCAGTAGCCATAACTTGGAGCTTTAGTAAATGTAGCATGCAGCATAAGCCATATGGAATATTAGTCAGTGCAGCATTGGACCAATAGCTATGGCTTGGAACTGTAGCCAATGTAGCTTACAGCAACTGCTTTAACTTGGAACATCAGCCAATGTAGCATAAAGCAGTAGCTGTAACTTGGAGCATTAGCCAGTATAGCGTAAAGTAATAGTCATCACTGAAAGTACTAGCCAATGTAGTGTACAGTAATAGCCATAACTTGGAGCCTTAGACAACCAAGCATGGAGCGGTGCTCATAGTCAAAGCTTTCTGCAATGGCTCTGTTGCCGTTACTTTAATTATCTGCTTTGTTGATTACAGGGTGAAACTTTTGAGGACTTTGAAACCATGACAGACCGTCTCGTTTCTGAGATTAGCTACCACATTGAAGTGTTCGCTCTGAAGCCAGCCAAAATCAGGCAAGTCTTTGTTCTCTCCCATGCAAATTAATGTTGTGGTTTTCTTCTTGCCCAGACAAGTTTTTTTTTTCAAGGGGTCATTCTAAAGAATCACGGCTAAGCTTCTTCTACTCCCAGTATTTGAAGACATTTGATGTAAACACCTGCCCCACAGATAAAAAAATATCTTGTCACTCTATTGGTATTTGGGCATTACAGGCTTTTGCACAAAATGTGCAAAGGGACAAAGTGGTGGTGTTTCAAGGTGCCGATTTCTTTAATGCAATTTGAATGATTTTGCACGACTTGTGTTTAATACTCACGTTGAAAGTTCTAAAGTGTATAACTAACACTTTCCTGATGGTGCTGTTAGTATGAAAGCTATGCCATCACTCATGCATTGCTTGGCGAAATGAAAATGTTTTCATTCATTGACTGTTGATTGATCGGCAGCAGTGTTGCAGTCACAACTGAATGGAAGTGAGTTAGGATTATGATGTTGCAAGCACTGGCGGTTTTTGTCACTGCAAGGGGCAGAAAAAAACTCATATTAGTATTAACCCTTTACGGTCCAAAGCCTTTATCCACTCTCCGTTCGCTTCATTGAGAAACTAAAGAAACCGAAACTGAAGTAAAAGTTGTTCCTTTTCATTCAAAGATGGCGCATGCTGAATTGAGAGAGTGCGCACGTGAATCAACCACAAAACGACTTATCGAGCACTGTCTGACCATGAGTTGCTGCGGTCGAGTTGTGTAGTCGGTAGTCTCCCGACGATGAACCACAAAGGGGTTAGGGCATGGCCATTTACTTATGATTCTTTCCAAGACTTAAAAACTGAAATGTTCATTTAGCAGCTATTGCTGAAATGGAATCGGGCTTCTGTTTCTGCGGAATCGAGAGTAAATAAACTTTCACTGCACCATTCAGAATGATTGAATGGGGCTGAAAGTTAGAGCTCCACCCCATAACCCTGATATGTGTGTGTGTGTGCGTTAGCGTTCATGCTTGTGCTGTTTGCTTGCGTGGCATCAAAGGGGTTAACGTTAATCAACTGGGCATGCAGTTGAGGGCTTTTATTTCTTTGATGACTTAAATGGCGATCGAGCGTTTACGTGCTGCTTCTTTCCTCCGCAGTTTCATCGGCCATTCGTTAGGAAACATCATCATCCGCAGTGCGCTTACCCGACCCGAAATGAAGCCTTACCTGAGCCAGCTGTGTACATTTCTCTCGCTATCAGGCCCTCACCTTGGCACACTGTTCAACAACAGCGGCCTCGTCAACATGGGTCAGTCTGATTCTGATCTCTTGCTGGCTTTGCATGGTTCACTTAGTCAGCCGAAACCATGGTGTAAGATGTTAAGCTGAGATGAAATCCATTCTTCCTTGAAACCTTGTGAAACATTTGCATCATTTCGGATTCTTATGAGTACTTCCTAGTGGGTTAATGAAGTATCCAAACTACATCTTTACATTGCCCTAGAGCTTGACGCATTACAGATTAACTAAAGCAATCTCTTAAAAGCAAAGCCTTGTCTGCCTTCTTGAGGTATTGCATGCCTCAGTGCTGTCTCGCCAAGTAACTTGTGCCAAGTCCAGAGACTGTGTAATTGAAGGCACATTCTAGCTTTAGAGTAGAACATGTTGCCTTGTGAAAGGTTCAAAGTTGGTCGGAACGCTCGATGCCATCTTGAGTGCCAAGGGTGTTGGAAAATGAACTTTGTGTTAGTGTTGCTTAGCTTATACTGATATACTATTTCACTTGTTCGTACACTCAAACGTTGTGGGAATTGAGGCTGGCCCGCTGCCTTTGCGCGGGCTTTCCCGCCTTTTCTGCCATTCTCATGTCCCGACATGTCTGCCCTCCTTTGCCGTCAGCCGCGCTGGGAAGGGCGGAGTGACGTTTAACTCCCTCACCCGGTAGCGGATGTTGACTGTGGCGCCGCGCGCGGGGACCCCCGAGAGGTTTTCGCGCGCTGCGTCGGGAGCGGGGAGTACAGTCCGGGACTTCAAACGGTGAGCCACGCATTCTTTTCCGTCCGTCGAGTCCCGTCGCTCGGGGCTCGTCGGACTTCGCTGACGGCGCCTCGCGCCCGATGCGAACGCTCACCTTTTGTTGCCCCCGCTGCGTACTCACGGCCGAAGGGCAGTACGGTGTCCTAGTGCGTGGCCTAGCTACGCCGACCCGTCTCCCTTCGAAGCCAACGCGAGCGCCTTTGCCCTCGCTCGAGCAACCGGGCCCCCTTTGTCCCGGTGTCTCCGTGGATTACCTTTACCGCGGAGACGTGCTCGTGGCACCCTGTGTAGTACTTTGTGCCCGTGGCGTGGATAAGCCTACTTGCTTTCCCGCCGCGCCTTTTTGCAACGGGCTGTACTGCGTTTGGTGTTGCCACAATAAAGTGTTGCGACTTTGAGCAGTATCGTGTTTCCCGCCACGGCGACGGTTGACGCGTGCCCTGCGGCTCGCTAAGACCGGACCCACGCTGGTGGCCGTACTCCTTCGGGATACGTGTACACCACAACGTTGATATAACGAACCTGCATACAACAATTACCGGTTATAACAAAGCAAATGAAAAGTAGTCTTGCAATAGATATAGTGTTAGGAATAGCCTTTATAACGAATTTTCGGATGTAACGAATTTATTTTCGCGTAACATGCAACTTTGATATAATGTGTTTTGAATGTGTGATCAGCACTTAATTTTTCACGCGTGTTCTCCATTCTGTAGGGATGTGGTTTATGCAGAAGTGGAAGAAGTCTGGTTCCCTGCTCCAGCTGGCCATGAAGGACACGGCTGACATTCGGCAGTCCTTTCTCTACAAACTCAGCCAGAAGCCGGGTACGTAGCAGCCATTATTTGACAAACTTTGGAGGTGGGTTGAAGGAAGAAGCAGGGCAGTGCAATTTTTTCTGAAAAGGCACTTCATAGATACAAAAGATCTTGTGCGAAACAACTGCTGCACAATTCTGAAAGTTTGAATTCACTGGAGTATTTTTCCATTCAAAGGCACACGAATTTGTTGGAACTAGACAAGTTGTTCGTCAATTTGAATGATCTGGATTCTTTGTATAACACTGTGCGTTCGAGCCACATGTTTCAGCCGAAAATATTGCCACTGACCCAGTTGGGAACACAGTGCTTCTTCAACAGTAATTATGTATGTGTGCAGATGAGGTAAAAACTATTTCTCTTGCTGTGCTTAGACAGGTGTTGATGAAAACCAGGAAGCGGAGCAGAAGTGGAGAACGTCTTGTTTATTAGACACTGGGTTGAAAACTAAAAAAAAATATGGAATGCGGGCGTGCGCTTCTACGTCTCATCGCTCTTCAAAAATAATACCGTATTTACTCGAATGTAACGTGAGTTTTCAAAATCTCTCTGAAGTGATTTGGGGGTCCGCGTTATAATCAAAGCACCTCAAATCGTGCCTTGGCGGTGCCGCCCCACTGGTTCCTTAAAATGGCTACGACAAACCTAGCGATCTTTCAACCTTGTGCTGGCAACATATGCACGCTGGCAACATCGAATCCAATCCAATCCTGTTGTTCGCGACGTTACAGTGGCTAGAATAGGAAAGTGTGATGAGCGGCAAGCGGTGCCTATGGAGTGCACTGAAGCCTCCGAGGAGGAGCCGCATGGAGGCGCGCGCAATCGTTTATACGTTGTTTGCACGTTTCCGACAGTTTCGTCGGGCGCGTTGGTTCTCTTTTTTTTTAATTGCGGTGGCACTCTAACACCAATGCTTCCGTATGCACTCTCATGGCGCGAAAGCCAAGCCATTGATTCATACCGGGGTTCACTACAGGCTACAAGTTAGCTAAAAAGAAGCATGCGTTGTTCGGTGTTCCGAAGGACGAAGCTCTGTTAGCGCAGTGGCGTAGAGTGATCCCACGCGCTGAGAAGCTGGTTCAAGAAAACGCGGCTGTGTGCAAGCTGCACTTAAACGAGAGGTACATCTCCCGGCACTTTGAGCACACTGTGATTGGCGAAATTGTCCGCCTTGAAAGGGATTGGTAGACCCATGGGCGCGCTTGCCGTTCAGGGGGGGGGGGGGGGGGGGGAAGGTTCATTGCAGGGTGCCTCCTTCCTATTAAATCAGTGTATGAGGCAGATTTTACGCGCCCCTTTTAGATGACTAAAAGAGTGCCCCGCTGCCTAGTCAACGTATAGAACAGATTCAGTGCTCCCTGGTGGCCAACCGCTTTTGCCCCTCTCGTGCGGGCATCTATGGGTAGGCCTTTAGAAAAAGCTGTTCGCATTTGTAGACGCCTTTGAAATCACTTTTTCGAAGTGGTTTAGCTACAAACGAGCTTCACAGTGACAGCTTGCAAAAGCTTGTTTTCTGCTTGAAAAAAATAAATAAAAAATGTCGCACTGGGCTGCGCACAACATGGTCCGAGCATCGCCAATCAAGTAAACAAGTTTTATTCTGCTCACCCATTTGCGTTTTTACACAAAGGCACTCCACAAGGAGTGAGCATCTTCCCGTGAAAAGAGAAAGTACCTGAAGCTCAGACGGATCACCTAGGCTTGCAGCCCAATGTTCTGTGAGGCGCTTGTGAACTATAAAACATTTTTTCTTGGGGATGAAAAAGGACGTGCGACAAATTATTGAGAATGCATTCTTGTAAACAGATAGTGAGTCACTACTCAGAAATGCGTTGTATGACGTGCGGGCAGAAAATAAAAGAATTTCATCCAAATACCACTCGTGATTCTGGTCTCTGAGTATGACGTTATGAATGATGGAGCTTTATTTACAGATTAGTGCTTGAGGAAATGTTAGTCTGCTGTGGAAAGTGTTGCAAGCAATGGCTCACAACTGAGTTCATCCTTTTACTCTTCTACCACTTCACATCGACAAAACATTTCTGTGCCGTCACACGCTCACTTTAGGCATCTTGTCGACCTGATGATATTTCAGTTCAGTCGCCCGCCGTAAGCATCCTGTTTTCCAGAAGCTAATTAGTATATTTTCTTGGTCTCCATTTGAGGCCATGCACGAGCAAAAAATATATTTTAAATGTTTCACATTGGCCGCGCGTGTGGTTGATTGCCGTCTCTGCACAGCGCATCACCGCCTTGGGTGATGTGCAAACGTGTGCCAGCGCCATCTGGTAATTTCCTCCCAAGGCGTTACGCGCTAGCTGGCGCGCTCATCACACTTCCCTATTCTAGCCACTGTAGCGACGTGTTTTGCGGGTGGTTGATTTCCTTTGTGCTTCCGCGACTTCGGCTCGAGCAAATGGCAGTGCGACGAGTTCAGTACGATGCCCGCTTTAGGAGAAGTGCAATACTGATGGCTGAGGAAATCGGGAACTCAGCCGCGGCTCGACGGCTAGATGTGGCGGAATCTACTATCCATGGGTGGAGGCTCCAGCGTGAAGCGCTCTTCAAGAGTGAGCCCAGCCGAAAAGGCTTTCGTGGACCTCGTTGTGGCCGTCACACAGAACTCGAAAAAAAAGTGGCGGAGTTCGTGATTGAGCAGCGAAATCGCCTATTGGGGGTCAACGTTGAGCTGATTCAGTGGAAAGCCCGAGACGTAGCTCGAGAGATGGGGATCCCGCGGGAGAACTTTAAGGCTTACGTAGATGGGCACAAAGTTCATGCGAAGAAATGGATTTTCCCTCCGGCGAACAACGTCGATAAGGCAGAAGCTACCAGCAGATTGCGAAGCGAAGCTAGTGGAGTTTCAGCGCTATGTGCTCGACCTGCGCCGCTCGTCGCAAATGCCGTTGGGGCACATTGGCAATGCGGACCAGACTCCCGTTTTCTTGGACATGCCTATGTCAAGGACTGTTAGCGAAACAGGTGCCCCCCAAGTTCGCATAAGGACAACAGGCAATGAGAAGACGCTGCTAACCGTGATGCTAGCCTGCTTGGCGGATGGGCGCAAGTTTGCCGCCATACATCATTTTTCGGCGCAAAACCATCCCGAAGGAGCTGTTCCCCAGGGATGTGATTGTTCGCTGCCAAGAAAAAGGTTGGATGGACACTCCGCTTATGCTTGACTGGGTCAAGACTGTGTGGTGCCTACGGCCAGGTGCGCTCCTCCACCCCGCCTCCATCCTAGTTCTCGACTCATTTCGCGGTCACCTGACGCCCGAAGTGAAGAAGCTGATGCGGGAAACTCAGACGCAGCTCGCTGTTATTCCCGGAGGTATGACGTCCGTGCTGCAGCCATTAGACGTCTGCCTGAACAAACCATTTAAGGATAGAATGTGGCAGCTGTACGGAGAATGGATGCGAGAATATCGGGCTTTGACACCTACGGGTAGGATAAAGCGACCTAGTGTCGCGATGATTGCCGAGTGGGTGTCCGCCGCTTGGTACGGGCTGCCGCACACATAATAGTTCGCGCGTTTAAAAAGTGCTGTATATCGAACTATATGGATGGCACGGAGGATGACCTCATCTGGGAGGAAGAAGTGACAAAGAGGGCTCGACCACCGGCGATGAAAGCGACAAATGAACTAAACTCACTTTATACTATTTAGAAACTGGGATGTCTTTGCCACTACCATGTGCAGCAAATAAAGGTACTTTTTTCCCCCGCTTTACTCGCGTTACATTCGTGTTCTTTTTTTTTTCGGCACTGAAAAGTCACCCCTCGCGTTACAATCGTGGTCGCGTTACATTCGAATAAATACAGTATTTAACAACATGTATCAGTATAACGTATTTAGAATATTATGAGTTGTCTCGATTGTATGTAGGTTGACCCCCTCTAAAATTGCACGGCAAAAAAAAAAAGCACAAGCACATTTTATAACAAAAAATAAATTACGATGTCTTCGAAGAAAACAAAGAATTCTGGTGTGCCAAGGTGGCTTCATGGCAGTGCTTGAAAGCTGTGAACGAAACATAGTTTTGCGAGAAGACGTAGGGATCTGTTTCAGAGACCTTACAACGAAAACTAGTCCCCCCCCCCCCCCCCAACTGCAGATTTCCAATAAAGACTAGTGGGTTGACCTACAATCGTGTAAATGTGGCAGTCGGTTGTGTTGTGCATGATGGCAGACATTTATCTCGTTGCCTCCTCCTTGTGTTGCAGGATTGGAATTTTTCAAGCATGTTTTGCTCTTCGGGTCCATGCAAGACCGATACGTGCCCATCCACTCGGCAAGGATTGAGCTCTGCAAGGCGGCAGTCAAGGACACGACGCCAATAGGTAAGAACTTGTTGCTGGCCGAGCTGATCGCTTCACAGCATCTTGATTTCAGCGCTATACAAGACGACCGCATGACAGAGGAAGGGACAAGTGCTTGTCCTGCTATCTCTCATGTGTCTGTATTTTCTTAGCGCAACAACCATAATGTCCCCATTAAATAATGCATCTGCCAAGCCTATGCAATCCCTAATTTGGAGTCATCCTATAAGTTTTACAAATGTTTTGTAACTGTTTTGGCAATAAAAAGATAACAAATGTTTTACTATCCCATTCCTTGCTAAGTAAGTAGCATGTAGGATGCCGTACACTGATTAACTGCTCTGCTTATCATTCAAGAGATTTCTTGTATTAGTGAAAAATTCATCATTAATGCATTGGAAAAATGATCATATGCAGTAAACTATTGTCAGTATGTTTATTGACGGGACCTGAAAGCTTAGTCAGTTAGAGCGCCATGCTATCAGGATCTTTATTGCTGACGAGTCCAAGAACACTAGTATGTTTTCGTGCAGATTATCGTGACGTACATGTTTGGGGACACTGCTTCAAGATTGCCATGTGTAAATTGACTTGTATGTGATAATTGATAATTGTAATTGATAATTGACTTGTATGCGACTTTCATTTGAAATTACATATTTAAGCTTTAAAGTGGAAGTATAATTAAAATCACTTCATTGATTAGCTATTATCAGTCGGCAGTGTCTTTAATGCAGGTTGTCAAACACTTATGAAGAGCGTAGCTTTCAGCATGAAAAATCTAGCGTCGTCTCGTCTAAGGTATTTGATGCTAAAACGAATTGTTTTGTAGCTGATGGTCGAGAGCGGGAAGCGCAGGCAACAGCTCTCACTTTTTGTTCTTTCTCTCTTGGGTGACATAAGTTCTATCTTCAATAATTGTGTATAATTATATGGTGTGTGCACCCAAGAGGTGGCACACGACGTGTTACACACTTATGAAGTCCCCGCCACGGTGGTCTAGTGGTTAAGGTACTTGGCTGCTGACCCACAGGCCGCGATATCGAATCGTGGCTGCAACGGCTGCATTTTCGATGGAAGCGAAAATGTTGTAGGCCCGTGTGCTCAGATTTGAGTGCATGTTAGACTACCCCAGATGGTCAAAATTTCCAGAGCCCTCCACTTTGGTGTCTCTCATAATCACATGGTGATTTTGGGACGTTAATTAAACCCCACACATCAGTCAATAGTTCTGAAACTCTCATTAAAGGGAACCTGAAGAAACCAGGAAAATGCGTTTTGTTCAACGGGAGTTTCATTTACTGAGAGACGAACGAGAGTGGAGAATCCAAGCTTGAAACCGATTGTGTTGGAGGCAGTTGTTCCATTTAAGCAGCACTTTCGTTTGACAGATTTTCGTTTACTGAGAGTCTACTGTACGTTTTTTGGTGCTAGGTTCTTGCTTCTGTGGCACATGGAGAATTCGCAACACACATAAAAGTATGCATTATACAGTTAAACCTCGTTATAACGAAATTGGAGGGCCGCCGCTATTTGCTCGTTATAACCAATATTTCGTTATAGCCGTAGCGGGAATTTATCGCAAATATTATGCACTGTACTTACCCCCAAAAAATAGCGGGCGAAATAGCATCCCGTCGCACGGTGGTATGCAACAAGATAACCGCATTCCCAAATAAAAAGGAAAAAGTCATGCACCTGTTTTAATGCACTTCAAAATACACAGCTTGCATTTCAGGCAGACTTAGCTGCAAAGAAGTCCGTAATTGGACGTTGATGCATCTTGCTGATGCGAACGATGGCTCGCTCAGCTGCGGCCGCAATGTTCAAGCCATCTTCGCCGCCCTCGTGAGCGCCGAAGTAGCGGCGCAGTACGTCCATCCGCGTCTAATGCCTCCGACGCCGTCGGCACGTTTGTCTCCTGTTCGTCGACAGAGTCATCGTCACTGGTTTCGTTACGATCACTGACAGCGCGCACAATATCGTCATCCAGGAGCTGCTCCGTTGCCACCACTTCCGAGTCCGCACTCACATAGTCGCAAAACGACTCGCTGTCAAGCACGACACTGGCGTCACGAAGTGCCGTCCATGATGCAGCGAATTCGTCTGATGTGGCAAAACCGTCCGGCACAGTGGGCTCGTCTGATGGCTCATCGCTGGCGTCTGGTGCGGCGGCAAATGAGGCGTGTCGAAAGCAGTTTGCGATCGTGGTCGCCGTCACACCCATCCACGCCGCCTGAAGCATTTCGAGCGCAGCGTACAAGTCAACATCGGTGTCTCGCTTCATCCTCATGTTGAGCAGGAGCTTGTCTATCACACGCTTGCGGTAGCCTGCCTTCAGCGACATAATCACACCTTGGTCAAGCGGCTGCATTTTTGCTGTGCAGTTGGCAGGAAGGAACAGCAGCTCGATGTTTTGAAGCACGGCCGCGGTATGGTGGGCGGTGCAGTTATCTAAAACAAGGCACACCCTGCGGTTCGCCTTTGCCAGCTTCTCGTCCCATTTGCAAAGCCCTTTTGAAAAAATCTCCCTGATCATCCGGGCTTTGAGATTGGCTACGTACTTGACTGGGAGCTGCCTCTTCCCCTTGAAGCAGCGAGGGGATGCACTTTTGCCAATTACGAAAATTGGCAGCTTCTCAGAGCCGGTCATGATTGCACAGAGTAGCGCAGTGATCCGCAGCTTACTTTGTTTGCCGCCATGGCACGGCTCGCCTTTGAGGGCTAACGTCTTGTGCGGCAGCATCTTGAAAAAGAGGGCGGTTTCGTCCGCGTTAAAAATATCCTCCGCGCTGTATTTCTCTAGCAGTCGCATGATGTTTTCTTTCGCCCACTTGGTAGCCTCTGCTTTGTCGACAGATTGCGATTCGCCGCAGACCGCTCTCCCGACAATGTCGTGGCGCTCCTTGAAGCGTTGGAGCCAACCCGAACTTGCTACGAAGTTGTCATAGCCCATGATGCAGGCAAAGTCTCTCGCTTTTCTTTGCAGCAAGGCGCCGCTCACCGGCAGATTCACGGCCCGCGTGTCAAAGAACCATTTAAAAACGGCCCTTTCGACCGCTTCAAAGGCAGGTGCCCTCATCCTTTTAGCGCTTCCTTTCACGCCACGTGCAACAGCGTCGATGATGGACTCCTGCTTGCTCAAGATGGTTGACAGTGTGCTCGTCGATACGCCAAAGTCTCTTGCCACGTTGCCTTTCTTGGTCCCCGATTCGACGGCTCTTATCATAGCTGCCTTCTGATCTAGCGTTACGCGCTTTCGCTTCCCGCCTGGCGCATTCATGTTGCTGGAATCACGAGCACAGCAAGATAAAAGATAAGGGGGAAGCGGCCGAAAAAGAGAAGAAACACGCACGCAAAAGCAACGCGGCTCACGCCGGCGAGCGACAATACTTGCAGAGAAAGTGACTGTGAAGAGGAAGGGGCAGAAGGGGCGCTCTTTTGCGCTGCCCTCTAGGAACCGGTTACTCAAGGGGAAGGGGGTATGTAAGATTAGGAAGCGCGCCTCAGCGCCATGAGAAAGGGGAGAGGGAGAATATAAAGAAGACACAAAAGAAAAGAAAAGGGTGAGACGTTCGCGGAGCTGCGGAGCACTCCGCTTTCGGTGGTAGCCAAGCGGCACACGTGCAGCGACCTCTTCTCCGGAAACAGCGCGTGCCGTCTGCTTTGCGCGCGTTGCTGGAGGGCGCGTGGTGGGAGTTTTGAACTGCTAAATACAGTTCTTGCGTTGCGCGCTGTCTCAAATTCGCGTTGTGCACTGTCGTGACATCGGCTCAAAATTTTACTTCCTAACAAAATTTGTTCGTTATATCCCATAACAGCCAAATTTTGCCTCGTTAAAACGAGGTTTTGAATACATTGGTTTGTATGGGGACTTTCAAGGGGAATTAGGATTTGCTCGTTATATCCATTATTTCGTTATAGCCCATCTCGTTATAACGAGGTTTAACTGTAGTTGCATTCTGAATAATTTAACTGCACAATCATTTAAAGGTTGCTATTAAAGGCTATACAATAGAAACAACTTTCATTTTGTTTTGCAGTTTCATAATTCAGGCTATAAAGTGCTAAAGAAACCAGCAACGCTAATGCACCTCCTCAGCAGTGTCTGTATGGGAAACTTACTGCTGTCACCGTATTTACTCGAATCTAACGCGTACATTTTTTCCGGTAAAGCGGGCTCATAAATCGCATGAGCGTTAGAATCGAGTACTAAAAAAAATGAATACGGTCATTCTATTGCCATCGGCATTTTAAAAATGGCCGCCTCCTACGCACGTCGTCTGTTTCTGCCATTGTGTTTCCTGTGTACGGCACTTCGTACGTGTGCTGAGGAGTTCGCCATCTTGTAGTGCATTCACATCGACGGCGTGCAAGGGCTGACTCTAAAAACTCGACGAGTGCACCACAATACTGATTTAAAAAAAAAAAAGTTTTCGCGCGTGCAGAAACGGATGAAAATCGGGCCGCGAAACGTGCGTGCGGGACTGGCGTAAACAAAAGCAGAATATTGTCGACAGCAAAGCTTCACTTAAAGGCTTCAGTGAACCACAGCAGGGCCGGTTTGCGCAAATTGAAGAGCTGCTCGTCGAGTATGTGTTCGAGCAGCGAGTGGCACAGCGGCCCATGACGACAGTTTTCCTTGAAGTGCGGACTATGCAGTTAGCCATACAACAAGGGCTAACGCAGAGAGAGTTCAACGAGAGCAGGTGCTAGCTAACAAACTTTATGAAGGAAAGGCGAACGGGCATATGCCAGAAGTTGCCGGAGGAGTACGAAAAAAAGCTTCACAGTTTCCAGAGGTTTGTCCTAGACTTGCGGGACAACAACGGAAACCTGCTCGGGCAAATCGGCGATGCCGATCAGACGTGTCTTTACTTAGATATGCCTGGTGCCACTACCCTTGAGAAGGGGGTGAAGCAAGTTCGTGTGCTGACATCTGGCCATGAGAAAACGAGAGTGACAGCAATGCTCTGTTGCACGTCAGATGGGCACAAGCTTCCCCTGTACCCGATATTCCCCTGTACACCACTCGGGAAGACGCTCCTGAAAGGAGTCGTTTTCCCGAGTGGTGTGATCGTGCAAGCCTACGAGAAAAGTTAGATGACAACAAACCTGGTCGCCAATTAGATCCTCCACATCTGGCAAAAATGGCCCAACGCCGGTTTGGGCCTGCGAACGATGCTCGTGCTTGACCCGTTCAGGTGCCATCTCAACCAGTGGATCAAGGACAAGCTCACTGCGTGCAATACGGGCCTTGTAATCATACCTGGTGGCATGACGTCCCAACTTAATCGCTAGATGTCTGCCTGAAGAAGCCAGTTAAGAAAAAGATTCGGGCGCTCTACACCGACTGGCTGATCAACGGACGACACGATTTCATGTCAAGCAATAGGATGAAGCACGCCTGTCTGCAAGGCTTCACTGCATGGGTGAAGGACGCCTGGTGTGCAATATCATCAGCCATGGTCATCAAGGCATTCAAGAAATGTGGCATCTCGAATGCCATGGACGGTACCGAAAATGAGATGCTTTAGCCCGTTGACAGCGATAAGGAGTTGTCCTACAGCGATGAGGACTGACCCATTACGCAACTCGTAACGCTACCGTAGTGGTCACAGTTTTAGCTGCTGGGCCGGCTGTTTGACTTTGTGTTTTATCTTTCGAAACCTCAGTGCATTAAAACCTAAATACTTGTTCTCAATATGCGAAGGTTGACTCTACAGACTTTTTTTTTCTTTTCCTTCCGTCACGAAAAAAGGGTGCACGATAGAATCGATGTTCAACTTTTTTTTTCGTCATGGAAACCGGGTGCGCGTTCAATCAAAGGTGCGGTAGAATCGAGTAAATACGGTAAATTTTTGCGGTGTGTTAGGCAAGCGCTGAATTTTATTCATTGTATTCTCACAATTTATTGTGCCTGGATTAACATGGCGGTCGTCTGGCTTCACTGTTGAGGCATAACTTCCGTTTCAGCAATTATGTTTAATTATTCTTGGTTTTGACTGAGTACACTAAAACTTTATTATAACAAAGTCGTACTTACCATGAAAACACCTTGTTATATATGAAAATTTGTCATGAACATATATTCGTAGCCCTGTATTTATGACACAGCTATTTTTTATTCACTTCATTATATTGAGGTTTGAGTGTATAGGATTCTCCGGTACGTCGAATGCCTCACATGCCGACTCATCACAGGGGCGGCGTACCGGGAGATGGTGAGCCACCTCCTTCGGCCACTGGCCAGCAAGCCGGACATCAGCCTGGTGCGCTATGACGTGCACCACGCGCTGCCCAGCTCGGCCAACTCGCTCATCGGCCGCGCCGCCCACATCGCCGTGCTCGACTCGGAACTCTTCATCGAGAAGTTTATGGTGGTTACGGGTCTGAAGTACTTTGCATGAGACATGCCCTTCAACTCCCTCCTCTTTCACTTTTTGTCTGTTCGAGGCCGGCGTGTGTCAGCCACCGAGGTTATTTTACCAAACTGTGCTTTTACTCCATTTCATGCATCAGATCAACATTGTGGAAGTTATGAAGAGAGTTTGAGCATGTGCCTCGCCCTTGGATTTCAACGTCAAAAACATGGCCTCTGCGATTGGCTCTGACTGTGCATCATCGGAACTAATCACAGAGGCTACGATGGAAAAACAGAGACCTTTAGTGATCCAAAACAACCTGTTGGCATCCGTCTAAGTAATGGGGTTGGTTTGTTATTTAAAGCAAAAAGCATCATAATTTCTTACTCTGCCCCACCACGGTGGTCTAGTGGCTGAAGTACTCGACTGCTGACCCGCAGGTCGTGGGATCGCATCCCAACTGTAGCGGCTGCATTTTCGATGGAGGAGGAAACGCTGTAGGCCTGTGTGCTCAAGTTTGTGTGCACGTTAAAGAACCCCAGGTGGTCGAAATATCTGGAGCTCTTCAATACGGCGTATTTCGTAATCCTATGGTGGTTTTGGGACGTTAAACCCCACATATCAATAAATCAGTCAATTGCTTACTGTTTATAAGGTTAAAAGAGATAACATTACGGATGTCAAAATCTTCTAGCAATTTCTTTATGTGAATGCATGTACCGTAAGAATTCTTGCTAGCTTTCATTGCGTTGCATCTGGTGTGTGGAATGAAGCATAGCAGTTCTGGCCATGATGCGTGCCTGCGGCCCTTAGCCATGCTAGGATTCTTTGTCTTGTGTTGCTCAGAAAAGAAACTTGATTTGTGGGCCAGCCTAATCTGCTATCTCAAAAGTTATTTCCTATAAAAAGTTGTTGAAATTAAGCTCATTTTTGGAAATTGATGGATTTGTTTAAAATTTTCATGAGACTTGAGCAGATACTTCGCAGAACAGGCAGAACTGAACTTTTTTATTTATTTTGTTTGTCTCGCACTGCTGTTCTCAACTTTTGAATAAGAAGATAGCACTCTTTAAAGATTAATGATGTATTTTAATTTTTTTATGCTATACCTAATGGAAACATAGAGTAAGACACCAGTGGAAAGCTTTTGTAGAATTACATCTGGTGCTGCAATAATGCTCTTCGATTCACTGATTACAATAAAAGAAACGTGAACTTCGGAATGATAAGAAAACCATAGCCTAAGGTTAGTGCTTGAACTGCTGCATAGCGCTATTTTGTTACTGTTTCTGTTGTTTCCATGAGGTTGTTGGTCAGAATAATTGGGTCAGTCTATTTATATGTGCATTGAAAGCATTCTTGGATCATACTAGTTAAATTTCTTGAATCAATGGTATGTGCCATGTAAAAAAACTCTTTGTCACATTGACGTATTGACGTTTAAATCCCTGTGGCACCTTTTCTGTCTTAACAATCATGTTATGCACAGTTTTGCAAATGCTAGTTCGAATTGTGTGAAGAAGCTCTCAGAGTTGCGGATTTGTGTGCAGTGCTCGTGGAATGAAATGAGTCAACTTGTGGCCAAGCAATGCGCACGCCGTTTAATTCATTGTCTTCAGTTTGCGTCTCATCGGCATATTATTGGCTCTCACACTTACGTTAGAGCCAGCACCATCATTGGAGGCCTGATTAGTTGCAACCAACGTTTTTAGATACTGACAGTTGGAAAAGCCCGCCCCGGAGGCATCACCATCTCTTATCCGCTCTGAGGGGTGGCTCTGGCTTATGCGTTGCGATTGAGCCACCGCCACCGGCTTCCCGCCACTTCCCGCAGAAGCGTTGAAATATTTTGTGGGGTTCGTTTGCTCAGATTTTATTGGCAGGAGCTTGAAGACTAAATTTTGGTCATTGCAAATTGTTTTTAACATGCGACAGGGCAATTAAGCATACTTGAGTGAATTAGCAGTTTAACGTGATAAACATCATCACCATCTCTTATGCGCTCTGAGGGGTGGCTCTGGCTTATGCGTTGCGATTGAGCCACCGCCACCGGCTTCCCGCCACTTCCCGCAGAAGCGTTGAATATTTTTGTGGGTGTTCGTTTGCTCAGATTTTATCGGCAGGAGCTTGAAGACTAAATTTTGGTCATTGCAAATTGTTTTTAACATGCGACAGGACAATTAAGCCTACTTGAGTGAATTAGCAGTTTAACGTGATAAACATCATCACCATCTCTTATCCGCTCTGAGGGGTGGCTCTGGCTTATGCGTTGCGATTGAGCCACCGCCACCGGCTTCCCGCCACTTCCCGCAGAAGCGTTGAATATTTTTGTGGGTGTTCGTTTGCTCAGATTTCATCGGCAGGAGCTTGAAGACTAAATTTTGGTCATTGCAAATTGTTTTTAACATGCGACAGGATAATTAAGCATACTTGAGTGAATTAGCAGTTTAACGTCATAAACATGCTGACTTGCAGCAGGTCAGGCTGTCAAGTGGCTATGCTCCCGAGGAAAACACTTGCGATCGGCGGCACTTCTTCAAACCCCCAAATGACCCTGCAGTTCTCAAGGCCTGGACAGCTGCTATTTCACGAAAAGCCTTCTAGGTGACAATCAAGATCTACACTTGGGACCTGCATTTTCGAATCCGAGGACCTAATAACTTTCTACGAGCCAACGCCTCTTAAAAAAAATTATGCCTGGAACGTGAGCCGCGAACGCGCTGCCCTAACCTCTGATTTTACCCTCCTCCTTCGGTACGAAGGCGAGCGCCTCCGACGGCCGCCTCCTGCGAGCACAGTTGCCTCCGAGCAGCCGTAATGTCACGTGACAGAGCGGTACGGTTATGTCACGTGACTAAGTGGCACGGAGGCGAGCGGTCTCATGCGGCGGCTGGTCGCAACACAAGACAGGAGGCACAGCCTCCGAGATGGCGTGCTGGCAGGAGGCTCCCAATTGAAAATAGAGCGACGTTTCAGGCATAGTTTTTCTAGGAGGCGTTGCTACGAGGACATCGCAGGCGGAAGCGTTGTTGAAATTCCACTTGGTAGGTGAACACTTATGCCCGGTGCTCTTCCTCAAATTTTCGCGTATATTCCTGCACACTTGTCTAAACCAGCGGTATCAAAGTGCAAAAGGAAACCTCCAAAACTTGGAGAAACCACGAATTTCGAGGGCCGGGTGTCGGCAAGTGGTGGCGATGTGTCGGACGTCAACATGGAGAACAGCGATCTTGACGAAGCTGCTGGCATCTCCTCCGATTCAGAGTTGTGTCCAGAGGTAGCAACTTGGTTGCCGGCATCACAAGACCAAACTAAGTTCCAATCCTGGAATGTCGAGCTTATCCAAGTTTTTTTTTTTTTTCAAAGTTGTTCAAAGCAAAGGTGTTGTTGAAATCGATAAGGCAGTGGTGGTAACAAAACACTTCACTGTTGTCCCCAGTCTTAGGGCGATGCTTGTTCCCCTGTGCGCATACAGCAAACATGGTTTGGGATGCCGGCAGAAACTGAAGAGCTTGCAGGTGGTATGAGCTTCTGTCAGATATGTTAAACCTAAAATTATGCGCGGACTGTCGTAGCACCGTATTCCCTTCCATTTCGGCTGCAGTATCCGCCCTGCCGATCCTGGATGTGTGAAGGAGCATTAAGTGTTTTGGGTTGTCCCGGGAAGACTTTATGCCCACCATGCAAGAGCACAAGGAAGCATCTGCGAGCACGTGAGAAGAAAAAGGAGAGATATACGAAACTGACAAGGCTTCAACCAAAAATTATGCTCGACTTTTAAGAACCCAAGAAAGACGGTTATAAGCGCCACAGTTTTTCGAGAGAAAGCGAAGACAGCAGCAACGCCGCTGCGTGGAATATGAGAAGGGGCCGCTCCTCGCCGCTGCGACCGTGCACGCTTGCCGAACTGACAATATCTAAAAACATTGGTTGCAACATTGTGCAGTTATCTTGAGCTATTGTGCATACAGTCGGATTCGCATATATATTGAACCCACATATACGAATTAATGCATACTTGAGTGAATTAGCAGTTTAACGTCATAAACATGCTGACTTGCAGCAGGTCAGGCTGTCAAGTGGCTATGCTCCCGAGGAAAACACTTGCGATCGGCGGCACTTCTTCAAACCCCAAATGACCCTGCAGTTCTCAAGGCCTGGACAGCTGCTATTTCACGAAAAGCCTTCTAGGTGACAATCAAGATCTACACTTGGGACCTGCATTTTCGAATCCGAGGACCTAATAACTTTCTACGAGCCAACGCCTCTTAAAAAAAATTATGCCTGGACGTGAGCCGCGAACGCGCTGCCCTAACCTCTGATTTTACCCTCCTCCTCGGTACGAAGGCGAGCGCCTCCGACGGCCGCCTCCTGCGAGCACAGTTGCCTCCGAGCAGCCGTAATGTCACGTGACAGAGCGGTACGGGTTCTGTCACGTGACTAAGTGGCACGGAGGCGAGCGGTCTATGCGGCGCTGGTCGCACACAAGACAGGAGGCACAGCCTCCGAGATGGCGTGCTGGCAGGAGGCTCCCAATTGAAAATAGAGCGACGTTTCAGGCATAGTTTTTCTAGGAGGCGTTGCTACGAGGACATCGCAGGCGGAAGCGTTGTTGAAATTCCACTTGGTAGGTGAACACTTATGCCCGGTGCTCTTCCTCAAATTTTCGCGTATATTCCTGCACACTTGTCTAAACCAGCGGTATCAAAGTGCAAAAGGGAAACCTCCAAAACTTGGAGAAACCACGAAGTTCGAGGGCGCGGTGTCGGCAAGTGGTGGCGATGTGTCGGACGTCAACATGGAGAAACAGCGATCTTGACGAAGCTGCTGGCAGCTCATCCGATTCAGAGTTGTGTCCAGAGGTAGCAACTGGTTGCCGGCATCACAAGACCAAACTAAGTTCCAATCCTGGAATGTCGAGCTTATCCAAGTTTTTTTTTTTTTTCAAAGTTGTTCAAAGCAAAGGTGTTGTTGAAATCGATAAGGCAGTGGTGGTAACAAAACACTTCACTGTTGTCCCAGTCTTAGGGCGATGCTTGTTCCCCTGTGCGCATACAGCAAACATGGTTTGGGATGCCGGCAGAAACTGAAGAGCTTGCAGTTGGTATGAGCTTCTGTCAGATATGTTAAACCTAAAAATTATGCGCGGACTGTCGTAGCACCGTATTCCCTTCCATTTCGGCTGCAGTATCCGCCCTGCCGATCCTGGATGTGTGAAGGAGCATTACGTGTTTTGGGTTTGTCCCGGGAAGACCTTTATGCCCACCATGCAAGAGCACAAGGAAGCATCTGCGAGCACGTGAGAAGAAAAAGGAGAGATATACGAAACTGACAAGGCTTCAACCAAAAATTATGCTCGACTTTTAAGAACCCAAGAAAGACGGTTATAAGCGCCACAGTTTTTCGAGAGAAAGCGAAGACAGCAGCAACACCGCTGCGTGGAATATGAGAAGGGGCCGCTCCTCGCCGCTGCGACCGTGCATGCTTGCCGAACTGACAATATCTAAAAACATTGGTTGCAACATTGTGCAGTTATCTTGAGCTATTGTGCATACAGTCGGATTCGCATATATATTGAACCCACATATACGAATTAATGTATACTATATCGAGCAGTTGTAAAATTCTCTTGAATTATTTTCTACATCTAAAATATCCTATTTATAGAATTACTTATTTTGTCAAACACTTATGCCCGGTGCTCTCATACATTCATATACACCTATACCTTAGTATAATGACCGCTGATATAATGAAATATCGGCTGTACTGAGTGAATGAACAAGTCTCGCAATAGACATAGTGTGAGGAATACACCTTTATAACAAATTTTTAAATATAACGAACCTATTTTCGTGTAATATGCAACTTTGTCATAATGAGGTCTGCGTACACTCAGACCTCTTTATAACTAAGTTTCATTTTACACGAAATCATTTGTTATATCCAAAAATTTTTTAGAAAGGTATATTTGTAGCATCATATCTATTGCAAGACTGCTCTTCATTTACTTCATTATAACCCATAATTTGTTCTATTTGGGTTTTTTAAACCAAAGTTTGAGTTTGAACATATATGAAGCTGCTTTTGTGATCCCCTTCGAATTCAGTAAATCCAGGTTTGACTGTGCCAACTGTTATTCTTCAAATTTATATGTTGCGTTTCATTCCATGAACTCTGTACAAGTCTGCATCAAAATATTTCTTTCAAAAGACCGGCAAATTTAGTCCACTCTGTGTCATAGGCATTTCAGGATATGTCTGACCTTGTCAGCAAGCCCAGGTGAATGAAATTCACTCTTTAAGGTGTGAACTCAACAACACACCACCGGTCATGTTCACTCGCACTTCTGTGGCATGCTCATTGAAAGTTTTATTAGCAAGGCTGAAATTGGTCGAGTTCGGCAGTGCTCCGCAGGCTTTTAGATTTTTGCAATACAGTGCATGTGCAAAGCTGATCATGGTGGGCACGTACGGCAGTTATCCCGGTGCTGAATTCAGGCCAAATTGTGTGTGAAATCTTACCTGCACATAAATGAGCGAATGTACTTGGTTAGATGCAATATTAATGAGAACTATCAGACAATATTCTCATTAATATTATGTCAAACAAAGAAAATCTTCAGTTTAGGCAACCTAATTGGTTGGAACATCTATGAAAGTTTTATTTATTTATTTATTTAAACTGCCAGCCCAACAGTAGCTTATCACAGGAGTTAGAATAGAACAGCAGAAAACGCAAGAAAAGTGTCACAATTTCTTGACAGCGCATAAAAATAAAAGCAACCCGAGTGATGTGTCACAAATGATGCACAA